AATGGTCAGTAGACGACTGATAACTGGCTTTTATGTAACAGTGCAGGAAGGAAATAAATGGGATAGAGAAAATTGCAGTCCCCTGAGCAGTGTAAAACTTCTTCATGGGCTAATGAAGGTCGTATTTCCTCATAATTGAGACATTTGTGCTGGTGGAGAAAATGTTTGATTGTGCTGAGTGGATGATGGCAAGATATACTGCCATATACTGTATACAAAACAGTGTGTAGAGAAAGCATTCACTGAGCTTCACTTTTACAACATTATTCCAAAATGGATTCAATATTTTCTTTAGAATCTTACAAACTATATCCTATAATGACAATGTAAAAAAAGTTTGTTTGAAATCTTTGCAAATTCATTATTTAAAAATGGCATTTTGTCGTCGCCATTAGCCTAGTGGTTAAGTATGTGGACATATAGAGCCATGGTGCTCCTGGCAACTTGAGTTCGATTCCCGGCTCAGGGGCCTTTGCTGACCCTATCCCCCTCTCTGCTAACAATGCCTTACTGTCTGTAACCTCAACTGTCCTATCTCAATTAAAGGTGAAAAACCCCTAATAAAACTATAAATAAAAAAGTCTGCATTTTGCTCAGAGTACTTTGATAATTCTTTTGTTGAAGCAAGAGTTTTTGTTTTATTTTTAGAAAGTTTCTCCAATTATTCTTTGTAGTGCCTCTAAAGCTCTAAAAGGTTGGATGGGGACCATTAGTTCACAGCAATTGTCAAATCTTTCCAGAGATGTTCAATTGGGTTTAGCTCTGGGCTCTGGCTGGGACACACAAGGACATTCACGGAGTTGTCTTGACGCTTCTTTTTTATCTTGACTGTATGCTTAGAGTCATTGTAAGATCCCGTTGGAAGATCGTACATTGCACAAATCTGAGTATATGAAGAGAAAGTTCCTGTGGCTAAAAAACATCCCCACAGCATGATATACTGCTTCACTGTGCTTCACTATAGACATGCTGGTATTGGCCTTGAGATAAGAGGTGCTAGGTTTCCAAAGAGATTAATCTTTGTTTTATCAGATTAGTGAATTTTGTTTCTCCTAATCTGAGAGCCTTCTGGTGCCTTTGGCAAACTCCAGGCAAACCATAACGGAGATATGCCATTCTGCATACTTGCCTGATTGGTTGAGTGCAGCAGAGATGGTTGTTCTTCTGGAAGGTTCTCCTCTTTCCAGTAGAACATCTATAGAGAAATGTTAAAAACTCCTTCAGAGTGACCATCTGGTTTGTATTCACTTTGGTCAGGTGGACTGCTCTATAGAATGATAAATTCCACCATTTCCAGATGCCGGAGGCCACGGTGCTCATTGAGAGATTTTTTTTCAGTACCTTGCCTTGATACAGTCCTCCATCTGAAGACTACAGGTAACTCATTAGCCGCGTTTCAACTATCGTGCCTAAAGCGAGTGAGCCAGGGCGAGCCAAGGCCAGTCGCGTTTCCACTGTCACTTCCGGAGCCTAATCGGGCCAAATCGGGGCTTTCTTGGGGCCAGCGGCCGGCCTTTTTCAAAGAAGGCCAACTGGGGCTTCTGGGCAGAGTGAAAGTAGAGGCGGACACAGTTTTTCGATCGCACACGAGTATGCGCAAAACAAATAAATAAATAAGGGGAAGAAAACATCTAGCCTTATAGGCTGGGGTCTTTTTGCTTATAATCGCCCTCATGTTTCCCTTTTAAATGTAAGGCTGTTGCATTAAATAATAAAGTTTTAATTTATAAGTGACTTTTCTTTGCTGCGTCCTCTTTGATGTTTTAAAAACGCATAATAATCTTTACACCATATTAAAGACACAGCAGACAGTAAAGGTTTTAGAGAGTTTTTGTCAAGTTTAAAAGGCGTATTTGTGTGCGTTTAGATGCCTGTATGTGTGTGTGTGTGTGTGTGTGTGAGACCGGGGAAAAGTGCGCTTCCTTCACAGCTGTGTTGATGCTGCCCGGCTTTTTTCATTTTGTTATTTATTTTGGAGATAATACACTATATGAATACAACAGAAAGACATGAAACTTTACAAATTTTGTGTCCACTTTTGTGGGCTTAAAACAATAGCCTAAGCTATATTGAAATAATTTAAGTATTTACAAATATTGGATATAATAAAATCTCATAAAATAAATAAACCAATATAAAACTAACAAAAGCTAAACCAATTTAGGCACATACAATAGCCTACAAAAATCAAACCGTTTTAAAGCCATATTAAGCTTTCATTTTACAAAGGCCAATCTGAAAAAAAGGTTTTAGATATTTTCTAAAAACATCAAACACAGAAGAAGGTTTGAAATATTTTTTTTGGGGGGGGTGAAAAGCAGAAACCTTTTTTCCTGTAGGCTATCTTTTTTCTTAAATACATGAAGAGCTTTATTAGTGGATAGCTGCTGAGCCCAACGAAATATATGCTATATTTTATGACTTGCTCTTATGTGCTGAAATACTGAACACTTTCATTAACTTATAATAAGCAACATCTTTAAATAAAGGGGAATCACATATTAAGTGTCATATAGCCTATAGGGAAAAATTCTGGTTTCATTTCTCTGCGGAGCATTTGGGCTGAATGTTTGACGCGTCTATCTAAACGAGGATGTTATAAATTACATTTTCTTTTTTCTTTTTATTTTTCTGTCTTTATTAACAGAGAATTTCTGAGGTTTTATATTATGGATTGGTGTGCTTACTGCGCTCGGTCCCTCCGTTAGTGGCGAGACCACTCGATCTACAATGCCTTTGTAAATTGCCACCGTTACACAGTCGGTTGGCGAGTAAATGAATATGATGAATGAGAACACACAGGCCTATGTGTATAGACATAGGCTATCATGTACTGCTGTACAGTAACGTGTCATTTGTTTGATTCGGTTGTCTTTATTTGAATGGTTTCGCGATGGTGCCCTTTGTCTGCCCGATGTTGTGATTCGGGGGACGTTCTGGGGGCGGGGTTTGCGTGACGCGCTGCAAGCTAATAGCCCGACAGTGAAAACGAGACATGATTTCAGCCTCACTGCTCAACGTCCCGGGCGATTTGCCCGGCCCAGCCCAATTAAATCCCTGGCTCGCACTGGCCCGACAGTGGAAATGCAGCTACTGGGCCTCATTGCTTGCATGCACTGTTGACATGCACTATAACTGTAGGACTAGACAGGTGTGTGACTACCAATGCATACCATTGGTAAGAGCTCATTTCTATTCCCTAATCTCTCATAAGGGTTTACTCTCCAGAGTGTAAGCTTTAAAGGCATTTGGACATAGGGATAAGACCTTCTGAATGTAATGCAACACCAAACAGCTTGCAATACACCAAGGATCATGGAGGATCATCTTAAATTGAATAAGTTCACAGTACTCATATAGATTTGTTTTTTAACTTAACTTTAACGGTTTGGGTTTGAGTTCTCTTCATTTATTGGGTGTTGTTGTGGTCAAATTGCTTCGTTTATTCAAATGACTTAAGTTCACAGTACTTGTTAGGATTTTCTTTTTTTTTTTTTTATTAAATGGGTTGTTGCTATCGGTTTCCTCAATTGGTTTGAGTTACCTTAACTTTTTGGGTTTTACAGTGTAGAGTTGAGGCCTTCTGAATGCAATGCAGTGAATGACACCAATCAACTTGCCCTGCCCAAAAGATCATGGGGGCCCAAAGTGTTTTGTTGAATCCCTTGAAATTCATCCTGCTGAAGGACCCTTTGAAATGGCCAATTTTGAGAACTTTGGTCTGGAATGGCACTTCAATATGATGACGATAATTGTTTTCGATGATAAGTGGCCTTCGAAGGGCAAAATATACCATTTTTAATGCATCATGTTTGTCTTTACAAACATGTTTAATCTACTGGTGAACTCCACAGGATGACTTATCGCAGTCAAATCAAATAGTAGAAACATCTTAAGGATGATCTGTGGAAACAGAAGGCACCTGAGCTCAATTTTGCATGGCATGCCAAAGGCTGTTAAGCAGGAATACTTATGAATCTGCTGTGATGTTAGACAATCTTCTTTCACATTGTCATTATAGGGTATCGTTTGTAGAATTCTTAAGAAGATATTCTATTTAATCAACTATGGAATAAAGCTGTAACATATAAAAATGTGGAAATAGGGAAGAACTGTGAATACTTTCTAGATGCTGTGGGGAAAAGTAATTTATTTGTATTACTTTTGTGTCTTTATGTTCTATTAGAAAAACATGTTTAGACTAACACCAGATGAATCAATCTTTTTCTTTTGTATGATACCATATATTAACCAAGCAGACGTCTGTCTAATAAGAAGTCTAGACATGTCACAAGAAGCTGGATGCTTGTAGAAGTTGTAAAATATATTGAAAATGCACGTAACTGTTCAGTTCTGGTATGCAGAGATGGGTTGCAGAAAGAGGAAGTATGTTCGGGTACAACAGCCAAAGAACTGCAGAATGACTGATAAGTGATTTTACACCAAAACTCCACCTGTTAATATCAGTTGTGTATATTTGCTGGAGTCAGGGAAATGTAAGTTAGTTAGCGAACCTCCTGAATGTAATTCTTGCATTGCATTGGGGTAACGTAACCCAGCGCTCTGTCCTTGAATTTTTCATTTGTATTTAATTATTTACTACTATTTTTGACATTAAAGAAAACTCTCTCCTGACCTTTTTTATTGAACACGCATGGAATTGGCCGGGATATTGCAACAATGCACTGTATCCACATATGGAGTTCGCATGTTCTCCCTGTGTTGGCGTGGGTTTCCTTCAGGTAGTCCGGTTTCCCCCACAGTGCAAAGACATGCGGAATAAGTGAATTGGATTAACTAAATTGTCCTTAGTGTATGCGTGTGAGAGTGTGAGGGCATCCACTGTGTAAAACATTTTCCGAATAGTTGGCGGTTTATTCTGCTGTGGCAACCCCTGATAAATAAAGAGACTAAGCCGAAGGAAAATGACTGAATGAATGAATGAATGAATGAACAGAAATAAAAAGAGACATCTTCTATTACAATTCTCCAAACAAATCTTATTTTTAAGAAAAAAGTTTATTGTGGTTTTGACATTTTGTAATCTTCATTCTACAAAAGTGAATTGATGCAACCCATTCCTCAAGTAGGTGTAGTTTCGAGTCACTCCTGCTGCAGACAGAGGAAGAATCACAAAAGCAATACAGATAACAAAACTGGAGAAAACCCTTGAATTGATCCATGCTCTGTGTATGTTACACCACAGCTGTCTCTCTCTGCAGGTAAAATGACATTCTGCTGTAAAACATTCAGTGCATGGCCATCTGTATTGCCTCCAGACAACAACGTGCTGTATTGCTTGTCTTGTGATTTGGTACCTGTTGCTTACAGGCTGTATAAGTTCAGTGTGGAAGGGCTTGACATATAGTGCAAATGTAAAAGTGGAGGACTTCTATTTTCTGACTGCATCTACCATGCGCTTACCACATGCACCGCATATCTGCTGTCGAGGGAAAATCTACTAGTGCATGTGTAATGTATACAATCTCATTTGGAGAAATGTCACACCGTTCATATACTACAGTAAACAACACGTCGAACAGACTATTACAACGCTAACAAGAGCTAAGCTAACATAAAAAAATACAAAATAAACATTTTCCACACAAAGGAAAAGCTTTGTTGGTTCTCAAAGTACAATAGACATTTTTAAAAGAGAGAAAATCACTATTTGATTGTACTGTGAATCCTTTTTTCTTTTCAGATCATCCAGACAAATGCTAATGAGTCATGAAAACGTGCTCAGATGGGAGCATTGGATAGTTCACCCAAAATATTTTACATTCTTTTCATTCATTTACCATCAAGTCGTTCCAAACATTTGACTTTTTTCTTCTGAGGAAGACCAAAAAATCATTTGAGAATAATCTTTATAGTCAGTTGGATACAGAGGCGGACTGGCCATAGGGAGCACCGGGACACTTTCCAGTGGCCTGATGGTCTGTCCTGCCACAGAGAATCTGGCCTGACACCCCCACCCACTAAACCCCCTCAAAAAAAACACTTACTGATCGCTTCCCCTCACTCTTTATTTACTGATCACTCAAACCACCATCCCCCCAGGAATAGTTCAGTAACAAAGATACTGGCAAAAATACTGTCCCAGTCCACCTCTGGTTGGATGGAAATTTACAGGGGCTTGTGCAAAATGAACTACATGTCCCACAAATTCAAGATTGGGGCAAAAAAAGTAATAGGTGCTTGTGGCAAAATATGCCACCATAATAGATTAAATTCCCCACAAATTCAAGAAATAGAGACAAAAATGTCACAATAATGTAATAAATGCCTAATATATTTGCGTTACAGTGAAAAAAGTAAACGCTTGAGGTAATAATGCATCCAAAATTAACTCAATTTCTCACATTCGGAGGCAAAAGTGCCAAAAAAGTGAACAAATTATGCACAAATTAGGATAATGGGAAACAAAATTTTGGGGGCAAAAATGTTTCCAAAATAAACTAAATGCTCCACAAATTCAAAGTGACACGTTAAGTGGGGCACATAGGGGGCAAATATTGCCCGTAAATGTAAATGTTCACTTATGACCCTAATGGAGTCCAAAGTCATTTTAGAATAATAAGGAGATTTAGGGATGTCCAGATCCGATCACGTGATCAGAAAGCAGACTCGATCGGAATCAGATGTTACCTCCTGATCAGGACTCGAATATATATATACAAATTCTCATAGTTTTTTCTCACATCTATAGTTATGCGGTGGCAAAGAGTTAGACCTCTTTCTTGACTTCACACAGACACAGCAACACGTGCGCATTGACATCACTTTGTTGCAGATACCCTATTAATTAAATGACGGTAAAATAGAACACGCAAGCAACTTGAAGCAAAAAGTTCAAGTACGTCTGCTTTTTTTCAATGACAACATTGCCACAGCAAACTGTGAGACATGTAAAACTTGGGATTGCCTGTTGGGTATTTTAAGATGAGGTGCTGTTTGTTTTTATATTAGATTTTATTTATATTTACTGTTGCACTAAATTGCAAAAGTGAAGAATTGATGTTATTTATTACTGTTCAAGCTACCTCACAAAAGTGCTCTGTTTGTTAACAGAGTGATTGAATGTTAAAATAAGGTGAATTAAATGAAAAATTAGGAACATCCTGGATCTGGTTGTTCGCTCTATTCTTATTTATGTATTATAGAAGTATCGGATCAAGTTTAGGTATAAGTAGATACTCAAAATCAAATGTCCCGGACTTGAGGGCAAAAAACCTGATCAGGACATCTCTAATGAGATTATTAATTTTATTTATTTTTGTGGTGAACTATCCTTTTAAGTAGTTTCAAAGAAAACCCAAAGATCAGAAATAGATTTTCTTTAAATAAAATATCCAATATTGTACCATTGGTGCAACAAAGAGCAAGTTTAGACACTATGATTCGGTTTGGCAGAACTGATGAGAAACTGACAGTTTGATTGTTTTGTTTTTTCAAGTTTGTGGCACATGTTTCAAAAATCTTTCCATCATTTTCTCCGTATAACGACTGCTAATAAACACTTTCTGGACCTCATAGAAAAGTGCAACAATTTTTAAAAAGGAATACATAACAGAAAATCAGACCTGCCATATACGAGTCCAACAACGCACTTCTGAAGAGCTGCTTCAGCTTTACTTCAAGCCTTGGGTACGAACCGACTAACTATCAGATATAGGCATATGCAAGATTGTACCATAGACATATCTTTTGAACAACGCACGAAAAGCTTAACAGTAGCACATACCATCAACAGTAGCGATCTGAGGCACAACCACTAATGCGAATTTTCCCAGAAATCTCAATTTTCTATAAATGCTCGGTAGTAAGCAGTTCAGTAGCGTCTCCGTGGCCAGACGTGGTTAGGCAGCTCAGTAGCTTTGTGTCTTTGTAACATGCAGGGCTGTACGTGAAGCTCCAAATGAGCTGCAGCAAACTGACAAGGGCAGAACTGTGAGCAAATATGCGGTATTGCTCTTGTGTTTATAACCGACAATTCTGAAAATTCCTCCCTCTGTATTCTTTTGAAACACCTGTCTTAGGTACTGTGGGTATAAATCGAGGAGTACAAGTTGAAATAGTCATACAAATGCTCAGTGACGTTTCTGAGAAAAATACCAAGGGATGTTGAATCAGATCAGCAGGATTTGAGGATAAATTTAAAGGAGTTAAAAGTGCTTGCCGAACTGTCAGAACGCATTTTGCACAGGCTTGAAATGAAATGCTCTCCTTGAGAGAAGCAATGTTTGGATCAAATGCTGAAGTTTTAACGTGTCCTCATTTTGCAGGCTTTCATCAGGAGAGCTTGTTTGAGTCATCCCTTCATTTGCACACATGAGGGGGTGGAGCGTTGGCGTGAACACCAAAAGAGCACTAAAACATGACATCTAACACAATGGAGAAAGGAAACCACGCAATCAATCCTCTCTGTTTTGCTTTTAGGATGCGATCCATGAGTAAATTGGTGTGGGCACGATTTTGGGTTTGAAGAAAGAGAAACTCTTCATATGATTGGGGAAGGTCTGAAGATTTCACACAACTAAGGGTCCACGATTAGATTTATTTTTGGGGTTTGCTGCCTCATTGGTGACCCCTTGCTCCTCCAGATTGATGTTGCTCGTGGACGCGTGGTGAGTCAAAGGATCCCGTCCATGCCGATAGACATCGAGGTATAACAGACCTAACAGAGAGGACAGAAGGAGTCCACGTGAGAAAATATAAAGGACATAAAGAGAAATACATAGGGCGTGAAGGTAGGTGTCAAGGGTAAAATGATGGGGTTGTGGAAATGTGGTTTAAAATGATATTATATATAAGAAATTTAAACACACGCTATCTTCCACCAAATATAGAGCATTTCTTGGAGATCAGTTTTAACTCTTTCCCTGCCATTGATGAGATATCTTGTCTAAGAGAAAACACTTAACCATCATTGACAAGTTTTTTATGCCAATACATGTTTAGGTACATTATTATAAGGGAAGCTCTAGAGCAGGGAAGTCAAACTCAATTCCTGGAGGGCCGCAGCCCTGCACAGTTTAGTTCCAACCCTAATTAAACACACCTGATCAAGTTAATTGAGTCCTTTAGGCTTGTTTGAAACCTACAGGTTAAGCTGCGGTCACACTGGGGTTTTCCTCCCATAGACTTCCATTCATTCGCACGCGAATGCGTCAGACTGGAAACGCAGGGTCATGCGTCAAGTTTCAAGAGTTCAAGCTTGGTGAACTCTGACCTGCAAAATCGCATCACTTGACTGTGTGAGACCAATCGAGGATCAAAACATGAACGCTCTGGACAGAAATTTAAAACATGGAGCAATGGCTCACTTTTTTTAATGGCTATTAATCTTGTTTAATCCCGCCCCTTTCACACACACAAACTCTAGTGTGAACGCAGCTTAATTGTGTTGAAGCAGGGTTGGAACTAAACTGTGCAGGGCTGCAGCCCTTCAGGAATTGAGTTTGATGTTCCTGCTCTGAAGCATGTCTTAAATGAGTTACTGGACATCTGGGTCTCCTGAGAGCGAAATATAAATTTATGAGAGTAAGTGTAGATCAGATTACTTAAAATAAAGAGTTATGCAACTTGCATTTGGCAAATGTATACACACATGCATGCACACATACACAAACATACACTCACCGGCCACTTTATTAGGTACACCTGTCCAACTGCTTATTAATAAAAATTGCTAATTAGCCAATCACATGGCAGCAACCCAATGCATTTAGGCATGTAGACATGGTCAAGACGATCTGCTGCAGTTCAAACTGAGCATCAGAATGGGGAAGTAAGGTGATTTGAGTGACTTTGAACTTAGCATAGTTGTTTGCGCGAGACGGGCTTGTCTGAGTATTTTAGAAACTGCTGATCCATGGGATTTTTTATGCACAACCATCTCTAGGGTTTACAGAGAATGGTCCAAAAAATAGAAAATATCCAGTGAGCGGCAGTTCTGAGGGCACAAATGCCTAGTTGATGGCATCAACAACATGAAAGCATGAATCCATCCTGCCTTGTATCAACAGTTCAGGCTGGTGGTGGTGGTGTGGGGGATGTTTTCTTGGCACACTTTGAGCCCATTAGTACTTATTGAGAATCGTGTCAATGCCACAGCCTACTTGAGTATTGTTTCTGACCATGTCCATGCCTTTATAACCAAATCGTCTGATGGCTACTTCCAGCAGGATAACGCACCATGTCATAAAGTGCGAATCATCTCAGACTGGTTACTTGAACATGACAATGAGTTCACTGTACTCAAATGGCCTCCACAATCACCAGGTCTCAATCCAATAAGCACCTTTGGGTTGTGGTGGAGCGGGAAATTTGTTTCATATATGTGCAGCAGATAAATCTGCAGCAACTGCGTGATGCTATCATGTCAATATGGACCAAAATCTGTGAGGAATATTTCCAGTACCTTGTTGAATCTATGGCATAAAGGATTAAGGCAGTTCTGAAGTCAAAAGAGGGTCCAACCCGGTACTAGTAAGGTGTACCTATTAAAGTGACCAGTGAGTGTACATGTGTGTACAATACATATGTTGAAGAGGGCACTTCTTTTTCTGTCTGCTTGTTTTTTCTTTTCTTTTTTTTTCTTTTTTGTCGAAAATGTTTCATTGCATTAAATAGATGATAAAACATCCACACATTAAGATACAATGTTGTCGTTGTTTTGAAAGCAGAGGTTTGGTTCTTTATTTTAATGTACAATATGGTTATATATTCTTAGCGGAAAATATTTAGAGAGTAAAAATGATTAAAATGCTGGTGATGTCTGGCAACTTTTTAAAAATGCTGGCAAGGAAAGAGTTAATATGCATTTCTTAAAGAGTATGTTGGTTGGCTAATATGTCAGTCATGCAAACCAAGCTATTTTTATCCATTGTTCTCCAAGAGTTTCATCAGCTAAAATGTCCTGCATTGGATATTCATCATGCAACTTAGAAGTAAATGGTTGAAAGGCTCTTTTAACCCAAAGAGGTCAAAAGGCAAATCTGTAAAGAATCCCACTGATGATAATAGTGAATGGCATAAAGGCAGAAACTTCTTTGTGAATCCATGACCGCATTGCCTTTTAACTTACTCCATACCTATTCCTCAATGTGAACAGGACACGAGTCCTCATCTGTCCATTCCACAGAAATCCAGGAAGATACAGAGAGAGAGAGAGGGAGAGAGAGAGAGAGAGAGGGAGAGAGAGAGAGAGAGAGAGAGAGAGAGAGAAGATGGGAAATGATGGAAGGAAAAACAGAGACAGGAAAGAGAGAGAACAGCACATTTACAACACATCAACAGAATTAAACAGGCATCCACAGAAAATGAGAGTCGGATTGAGAGAGAGGAGAAGCTCGGTGCTTATGAGAGAATAATGAGAGAGGATGGTGGTAGTCAGAGTCCTTTTGAAAAAAACAACAACAACTGCTTTCTTACTGGAAACCCTTATCTTTAATCAGGAGGGTGTTCAAATTTCAAGTGGCCATTCAAGTAAGGGGTTTTCTCCCTGTAAGTACAAGACTTGAATGGACACATGAATTAAAGTGACCACAAACACTATATGGACATGCATGCAAAGTTAATAACTATGAGTATCATTATATTATATTATATTATATTATATTATATTATATTATATTATATTATATTATATTATATTATATTATATTATATTATATTATATTATATTATATTATATTATATTATAAACTTGGAATTGGAATATTGATCACAATTACATTATTCTATTTTAAAAACAGAATCAGTTTAATAGGAAAATCTTTTATAAAGAGCCACTATTATGCATTTAAAAAGGTAATATTTTGGCTTTGGGGGTGTCCAACAACAGTCTGATATGCATTCAAGGTTAAAAAGCACTTTCATTGTTTTATAATATGCATTTGTTTTTACTAAATTATCATAATGACTCACGATGCTAATCTGTGCTGATTGGTCCGATGAACTAGTCTGTTGTGATTGGTAGACTGCGTTTAACGTGAGACAGAGAGAAATCCCCAGCATGGCTTATCAACAAGTAGCCAGAGTGCAGAGTATATGAGCCCAATGCAGGAGTTTAAAGCAATGGAGTTAAACACTAGTATATTGCTCTTTTTTTAGCCATAAGTAAAAACAGGGACACACATTCAGTATTAATCCACAGTGGCAAAAGCTAAACTATTTTAAAAACTTGACCTTGAAAACTTGTACACTTGTGAAATGGAGGAAGAAACTGATCCATGAACTGCGCATTGTAAAGTTCCTGTCAAGCTCTGACAAAGTCCCATACATCAATAGTCTTTTCTGATCCTTTAACAAACGGCAGACGAGTCCCACATTGTATGCAGGTAGATTGCTGAAGCACTCATCAAGAATAATGACACAAACACAGCACAAGGCTGGGGCTATAATGCTGAGGTATTTTTGCAAAAATTAACTTCAAACACTCTTCTAAACCTCATTTTTGGGTAGGTAAAAAAACACTAACTTTCCCTCACACTTGTCTTCACAACATGATTCAACCGGCGTCTGCTACAGTGTTTGTCTTCCTTTTTTTATATCTACAGTGTTTGTGGGCGGGGCCGGGGGTTTCAATTTTCCCCGGATATGCTTGCACAACAATTGGGCGAGGCTTGAGTTTCGTATCAATGTCACATCGACACGGCTAAAGAATCGTTACAGCGGTGATTCATTCTAAATATTATGAGTCCACTCTTTTATAGATGAATCAATAGTTTTAAACACAGTCCACTTTCAAATTTAAGCCTTAGCTATATATTTCACTTTACTTAGAGCATAATAGGGGCTCTTTAAACAACATTTAAAACGAATAACAACAGCAAATGTATAGTAATAATAAATCATGTTAAATAGACACATTTTATATAATTAAATAATTTAAACTAAATTAATATAATATAATAAATATTAAAATTGATAGTATAAAAACAAACTCATCCAATATAAAGAACTTCAAACACATTTAAGTGAGGCTTATGTCCCCAAATTCTTATGGTGCAACTGTATCTTTTCAACTACATAGAACTCAAGATGAATAGAAATATGAAGAAGATTAGTAGCGTAAGACGCATATTTTAATATCACACATCTCATATGAAAAGCTTCATTTAGTTCTCCCAGAGAGAATGCTTTCTCTGAATGACATGATCCAAACCTTGAGGATTAACAGAAAATGCTGGCAAAAAAGGGGGGAGGGTGAGCATAAAAATGAAGGGATGAACGTAAAAACGAAAGGAGAAGACGCGAAGCTACTTTGAGCTGGCAGACACTGAACATGAACTTAGCCTTTAGTATGACCCAGAGAGATAGAAACAAGTCATACACGATATAAACTCACACATACACATAAACACACACAAAAGAAGAGGAGGTGGAAGAGGATAAAGGGGATTGCCGTTCTACCAATTGATGTTACACATAGGGGGGTCAAAGTAAGGACGTGCATGAAGCAGAGAAAGCCAATAGAGTTGCTGTTTTGGAAATCAAAAAGTCCATGTTCGAGAGGTTGCCACTCACCAGCGAATCGGCCGTCAGGAGGCTGCTCATTGTCCAGGCCTGTCATACAGTGGGTGTCAGACTGCCCCTGATTGTTATTGTCAAACTCTGGACAAGGCGCCTCGCTCCTCCTGCGCCCACCTGCAAGCGAGGTCAGAGGTCAAACAAGAGCAGCCGAGGCAGGGCAGGGCAGAGCAGCGAGTGAGGGGTGGGGGGTGGGAACGATGGGGCGCAGGATGCTGCTCGCTAGCCATTTGGAATGGCTGTGGTTGATGAATGCACAAGTACTTAATGTGAAAGCAGAGCGGATGCGATCGGCACGTGCACAAGAACATTCATTTTTTCACATTGGTAATAGCATACAATGCATTAAATAAAAACAAAAACTGCATATGCAAAAGGGGACTGGTTATAATAAAAAGCAAAACCTCAACTGCTTGTATTAAACTACTTAATTGCTCAAAATAATTGTTATAAAACTAAAATCAATAATGGAATATTTGTACTGTGGAGATCAAAATGATCATTGCTCTGCATGATAATTGCTGGATGATTGGATGTTGAGAGCAGGGAAGGGTTTTTTGTTTTTTCTTTATTGTCTTTGTAAATTTTTGGGCAACTTGACGGAATTAGTGACATTGTAAAGATAAAATATTCTAGAAATCACAGATTTAAAATGGTCAGCATTTTTTGCTATGGCTGAAAGCTTCATCTGGATCTGTGGTCTTCAACCCCCAGGCTGTGGACCGCCATTCTGTGGATCAATTGGTATCGGCCCACACAAGGAATCATTAATTATTTCGGTTTTATTTATTATCTGAATCTGAACAATCTTTTATTTTGAAAAATCTTCATTTATTCATTTTTTTACAGCTTAGTCCCTTTATTAATCAGAGGTTGCCACAGCGGAATGAACCACCAATTTATCCATCATACGTTTCAAGCAGCGAATGCCCATCCAGCTGCAACCCATCACTGGGAAACATCCATACACACACATTCATACACATACACTATGGACTATTTTGTTTACCCAATTCATTAGTACCGCATGTCTTTGGACTTGTGAGGGAAACTGGACCACCCAGAGGAAACCCACGTGAACACAGGGAGAACATGCAAACTCCATACAGAAATGCCAACTGACCCAGCCGAGGCTCGAACCAGCGACCTTCTTGTTGTGAGGCGATCGTGCTACCTACTGCGCCAATGTGCTGCATGAAAAATCTTTTATTTAAAAAAAAAAAGAACTGTATCCTCTTGGTTACATCTTGGTCACCCAAATTTACGTCTTTGGAAAATTTCTTTGTGAAGGGGAAAAGGCCCAGTGAAGGACCTATGAACTGCCAAAGATTAGATCTGCAATGCATTTGTCAACAAATCAGGTGATCCAGCACATCTGTGTCTGTGTAAGAAGAAAATAAACTGCTGGAGATTGCAAATGATGGCAGCCGTTCACATATTGCGTCTGTTCTGCGCACAAGTTTGTTATTTCTAATGGTGGTGCATAGCTTGTGACCACATATTGAGTGATGCCCGTAAGCAATGCAACGAGCTTGCACCTTCCAGGCAAACCCAATTAAAGACGTCTTCAGATTTCCACGAGCGCACCGCAAGTCACCTGACAAGAACTGTCAGACCTGCTGCATATTTTGTATGGAATCTACAAGTTTCTATAATGTTCTCCCTGTGTTTGCGTGAGTTTCCTCTGGGTTCTCCGATTTCCCTCCTAGTCCAAATACATGTGGTAAAGGTGAACTGAATAAGCTAAATTGGCTGTGGGGAAAACCGGAGCACCCAGAGGAAACCCAGGCGAGCACAAGGAGAACATGCAAACTTCACACAGAAATGCCAACTTATCCAGCCGAGGCTCGAACCAGTGACCTTCTTGCTGTGAGGCGATTGTGCTACCCACTGCGCCACTGTGACGCCTGTCACTCTAAAATCTCTTAGCCAAAGTTCATCCTCACAGTGGTTTGGTATATTACCTTCCAGAACTGTTTTGTGCGGCTGCGCTCCCAAAGAGCTGTCTTGTTCTTCCGAAAGCTACTGTGCATTCATTGAATTTCATCTTCTGAGGTGCAAAATTTTATAAAAAAGGCCCACAGTGGCTTATTATACTGCTGCAAATTCTGTTTTGGATGGAATGGAAATAGTAATTTATTCTCAGATGTTGTTTTTTCAATGTTCCAGTTGTGCACATAAGTATAATTCACATCTTTGGATGGAATCTAGTGAAATCTGGAAATTTAGGCTGCCAGTTAATTAAGGGAATTACCACTAAGTCAAAATTTTTTGTTAAATTTCTGTTTCTTTCAAATATCTCAAAATAAGCTGTGACCTCTAATTTTGATCTCCACTTTACAAAACTGCATCTGCTAAAATTCAGAAGCCAAATGTGCTTGTATGTGGGCTGATTAAACAAAACATGAAAACTGAACTACATTCGCCTCAAATGAGTCATGTGATAAATATATTTGTAGTGAACAGCCTCTTTGGCCCACCTGCAAACACAAGTTATTCATCAAGCAGGAGTGTAGGCAGGTTGAATGAAGTGCCACCTACATCGCAGAGGGTTTTTCTATTCCTTAGGCTAATGTTATATTGAATGTTTCTTTCCTCCACTAAATAAAAATAAAAAAGGTATTTGATCTCACGGTTTTAAATTTTTAACATGCAATTGCAAATTATAAAGTCGGAATTGTGTATAAACATAAGAAAATACCTTTTCTCCAAATAGGACTTTATAACTCACATTTGCAATGTCACAATTCTGAGAAAAACATCAGAATTGTCAGAAGAATCTTCTCAATTGCGAGTGTGTAATTGCCAATTATGACCATTTTCCTAGCAATTCTGACTTTAATTCTTATAATTACACATATTTCTTAATTACTAGCAAATGCATGTTCATATGAACCTCTAAAATATTCAGAATTGTGAGATGAATAGTTACATTTCCCTTTTTATTTTTTTATTCAGTGGTGAAAATTGGCTTCCATAAATAAACTACAGGCAATAGCTAAAGTTACAATTACCATGTTCTTTGGTGGGAGATGCGCAATCTTCCTCAGTCACATCATTTCCCTAAGGATGGAAATACAGAGCTAAATAAATGATCAATCTCAAACAAATCTATTGGTTTAAGATTTTCGACTGTTTCAATGTTTCACCTCTGAATCCTGTTCTTCAAGAATGGCAGCCACAAAGTTATGCGCTTTTCCATCATTAGGGATATCCTGCAGACATGTAAATATGGTCTCTGTAAGACATACAATGACTTGCACAAACAGCTTCTAAATTATTCAATGTTTTTGCAATGGTGATAAATATAGCTCTAGCAAGTTTTTGGTAGCAATACACTGATTTTTGGCCAATTATTTACCATGATTTATTACCTTTTAATTTTTTTAAACAGTACAAAATTTCTAAGCAAAGCGAGCAAGTTCAGTTTATTTTTTAGGTTAAGAATTTATTATTTAACATAAGACACCTCTATTTAAGGACATTTTATGAAGTATTGTAAATTTAAAACATAAAATTAATCTTAAAATATGCATATAAATCTAATTTAATTTAGTGAGCACAACAATTTTGTCTTTACTTAAGGATGTATTTTTTAATTATAATTTTAAGCCAGAACTGATGCTCAAATGACTGCAGATGTAGTTCAATAAAAAAGTTAAATCCTAACCCTTTTCTAGTATTTAAAGGAAAAATATGAAAAATAATTAAATAAGAACTCTACAAACAAATGTAACTTTTATTTAAAAAAAAAAATTAAATAGAAGAAACGGTTCAATACGAAACAACTTTAATTTACTGTTTTTTTTAAATACATCAGTTTATTTTATCTAAATCCCACTGCAACATTTATGCTTTCAACTTTTCACTGCAAATTAATATCAAGCAAGCAAAACATGCACAAAGCGCCAAATCAGTATAGTATATCACATGCTCCTTCTTTTTAGTTCACTTGAAATACATTTGCTAAAGCTTGATTTGGTTTGTTTCATTCCTGGTGTAAATTCCAGTTTATACACAGTCTTACATAATCTTTTTTTAATAACAGTACCATAATTTTTTTTTATTTGTGAGTGAAATATAAACGTCTAAATAATAACTGTATTAACTTGTTATCAAAACAAAAATATTTAGCAAAATTTGGCAAACTGGTACAAACAAATTACTTCCACAGCATTTTTTCCTACTATAGAAGTCAATGGTTACCAGTTTTCAAATTTCTTCAAAATATCTCCTTTTGTACTCAACAGAAGAAAAAAATGCAAAAAGGTTTGTAACCACTTTAAGGTTGAATAAATAGTTAATAAGTGCATATTTTTGGGTTTAATCCTCTAAAACAACAACCAGGCATAGATGTTGCTTAGACTTTTATTTCAGTATGTTGATGTACTTCCAACTGAAACAGAATATTGAATAGGGGATGGGGATTTATTTTGCGTATTATTCTTTCATGGCAAACTAACGGTAAGAAGGGCATTGTTAAGGATATTGATATACAGTTGCTATGAAAACCCTCAAGCTTACGTCAACCAAAAGCCGCCACTTTAATGGCGGAAGAAAATGGTCAGACTTTCATTAAAAATAACCAAAACAAACATTTTTAGAGTGGATTAACTAGCATGTTTCAAATTAAAAATTAAAAAATAAAGGTGTAATTTCAGTCTCTTTCAATGTAATTTAAGTTACATTCCATCTACATGCCAACTAATTCTCATTAGATTATAAGTAGACTGTTAGGTTGACATGTAGGAAGTTGACATGTTATTTCAAAGTTTCTTATAGTCAGTTAAATGTTGAAGAGCAGTCTCATCAGATATTATACAGACAGACTACTAATACTCAAATGAGAAGTAATTGGCATGTAGTTGCAGTGCAACTTTTAGTTAACAAAATGTGCAATACGGACCATCAAATCGTCTTACCAAAATAATTTCCCCTGAGAATCTTTAATCACATATCATAACCTTCCCTGCCCTCTTAAAATGACTTTTCTTCATTTCTGATCACATGAAATGCCTTTCAGAAAGAGTTATCAGGGCATGTCTCACTTTGGCATGGCTTTTATCCATTCGTCAGTCTTTTTAAATGTAATTTTGTTAGCCCATCAACACCCATCTTCCAACAGTCCATTCTTTCATGCATCTAAATCCAAATCATTGACAGGCCTACATTTATTTGTAATTTCAGGACCATTTCAAGTGGATGTACTTCACAATAGAAGAAAAAAAGGACAATTTTAACTTCTATTTCATGATGACTTCATGAAAAACAACGTGAGTTAGAAGAATAAACATTGTAAATTTAGATTTCTAGCGGACTGATGGATTATCATGTTGAAAAAACCATCAACTTCAGCAACAGCATCGGAAGTCGATGACGTGCTGCTTCCAGGCCTTTTAACTCTCTTACCTCACCCTCATGTTGTGAAGGTGCTCTGCTCTCGGCTGGGGTCTCAGCAGCCTCCTCCCCCTCGGCTCCAGCCATGTAGGATCCAGACATTGAGGACAGAGTGTCTGTGCTGATCTGAGAGTGCTGACTATGAGACGACGCCATGGACATCACTGACTGAGCCAGGCTGCTGCTGACTGGATCTGAACAGAACAAGCAGATGTAAACGATCGAGTTCTGGTGTGCATTTTAGTGAGCAAGGTTTAGTGGACTGAAACGCTGTACCCTCTGGGGAGGTGATCGTGGAGGAGAGAGGCGTCCCGTTACAGGACTGATCGATGGCCCCCGAGGATGACAAGGTGAGGTTGTCGCTTTCAGGAGTCACTCCAGACTGCACGAGAATTTAGATGCGATGATGAGCAGAATGATGTTCACTATCACTAGTGAATAATGGTATTCGGCTATTTAAAACATGCTATATGTTTATGCAATTTTCCATGACAGTTGACAACTTGGTTCCAATATAACAAATATATTTAGGTAAAAAAATTTTACAAACATACTCATTCTGATCTGTACTTATTAAAATAAATTATAGAATAGAATAGAATAGAATAGAATAGAATAGAATAGAATAGAATAGAATAGAATAGAAAGCTGCTAAGAAATGTGTGATACATAGTGGTTTAAGATACTCAACCATGTTCCAGAAGGACCACCAACTCTGCACATTTTCCATGTCTCCTTAATGGTGCTGTATGTAAGTTTTTGACTCTTCTAAAGCATAAAAATACCATAATATGTTTACAGATAATTAAGAAACAAGCTAAGTGAACATTCTTGTTTATCTGAAAAACAATGCTCAAGTCAGTAATTCTGCTTTGAAGATGTCTGTTACGTGAACGGTTGTCTTTGTTTTGGTTCTTTTAACCCGCCCACTGCCACTTTAGCCAATTATCATTCAGCATAAGGGTTGCCTTTTTGGAAAACAACTTATTTCCTTCATTCATTCATTCATTCATTCATTCAGAAAGCATGCACCCATGACTGAAACGAAACCTCCGGTGCACATTAGCAGACTCTGAAATAAGAGGCACATTCAGAATTTCACATGAGGTTATTAATTAGCAAATAATAAAAATATTAAGAACATAAACATTAGTTGACAGGTTACATTTTAACCCTGTGTCCTAACAACACGCTACTTAATGAGATTTGCAGTGATAAGCAATTTGGCTGTGGGCACCAGACAAAACACGACAGAAAGTTAAATACAGCCATTCAGAGGCACAGAATATGCACAAAATGGTAAGGTTTCTAATCTAATTAATACATAAGAAACCTCTTCAACATTATTAAATGTACATGCTTAATCATTGATATGTGTTGATTTGCATTATTTCACAGTTAAAGTTCAATTTCAAAGGTTTATTTTATTTTCAAGGTCTAAGGTAAACTATCTGCTGCTTTCACTAGTATGGCTATAAATGTCATGTAAAATGGCATTCAAACTCACATTGTTATCATTTAACACTGTAAAAGCACATGAGGTGTACCTGAGGTGATCATTGTCAGTGTATCCTGTTGTTCAGCTGCAAGAATATGAAGCCGTTTCTAAAGTATAAATTTGAGGTGTTGGATAGAACAAAAACTCCTTTTAATTTGGAAAATATTCCTTCTATCATGTGTCGTTGCTTTTACATAGAACACGACTTAAATCAGCCTTTAGGCTCAATGGTCACTTGCTTCTGTTGGTCCTCAATCTGTGTTTGCATGTGCTTTGATCCAGGAACCCAAAACCCAGTTCAACTACTGGATGTCAAACTTGCATACTGCACCAACCCAAACACATCTGATTCAGATCATTAGCAGAGACTGAAAGATCTTGCTGTGTCGCAATTTGGATACTATCCATCCTAAATAGTATTCAAAAATAGAATTTGTATGCCCCGAACTGTAGTATGTTGAAAAGAGGATTCCAAAGTTTCCCACATAGTCTACTATTTCCGGTAGAAATTCGAAGAGTAGAACTGTCGTTAGTCTAACCCAGGGGTCTCAAACTCAATTTACCGGGGGGCCGCAGGAGGCAAAGTCTTGGTGAGGCTGGGCCGCATAAGGGATTTCACACAAAAAAAAAGTCCTCAAATGTCATTATTAAAAGTTTTAGTTATTTCTTCTGAACATGAAGTGTCCTGAACATTAATAGAACATTGAGTGAAGATTATGAACAGTTCTTCTGAACATGGCATCTTTTGCCTACTTCTTGCTGCCAGAGACTTGACAGCGCTTCTTCTCACAAATCTGAACCACATTTGGCTTTAGAGCGGAAGCAGTTGAGACCCTCAGTATGGCTTGAAGATGATCATCATTAAGTCTAGACCTGTACTTTGACTTATTGAAGTCCTGGGAAAAAAGTGAGGGAACTCACTCAAAACTTTCATTCCCTCACCTAAAAAAAGGCGTATATATGTATAAATAAAACACCCTCACCCCACTCCAGTCACATCTGTCTGTACCAGTCTGTTTCTACCTATGATATATATAAGATGCAGGGCAGGCACGTGCACACATAGGGCTCAACCTGTACAGAGCACATGCCCTTTTTAGTCTTGCATAGAAAGTGCCCTTCCAAAATGATCAAAAGTGCCCCCGCGACGCGACACACCCTCGGTCCCGCCCTTCAGTAGGCGCGCGATAACACCGCTCTTGAGTACGCGCGCGACAACACAGCTGATGAGAACGCGCGCGACAACACGGCGGGCGGGGAATGCCAGTGACCGCTATGTACGGATAGAATCAGCAGAGCGGGGAGCGCTCTCTCTCCCCGCTCCGCTGATTCTGTCAGTGTACAGCGGTCGGCGCGGGCCACAAAATATTGCACTGAGGGCCGCAAATGGCCCGCGGGCCGCCAGTTTGAAACCCCTGGTCTAACCGCTAATATTGCCCACAAAACATTGCACATTGGATGTGAATTTGTATGTCCCAAAATTTACATCCTCTTGTTACATACTCAAAAGTCTTCACAAAAAAGTACATACTTTTAGGACACCGTATAAGTATGCAAATTGGGACGCAGCACTGTAATGGGTGTGACAGACAATGGAAACATCCAAAACATGCAGTGTTGGTGGTCCTCCAGGAACATGGTTGAGAAACACTGGTTTAAGACATAGTTAAAAGATATAAAAGTATAAAACGACAAAGAATTTATATTTTATGGTTGCTCTGTGATCCTTAAATAGTCTCTTTTAATATGTGATAAAATAATTTTTGTTTTAAATATGTATTTGTGTGTAAAATATTGTTACATTAAATTATTTTACTGGGTGTGTTCAATAGCACATAATAGAAATGTATAATAGTCATTACTTTTTACTCAGAAAAATATACTGGGCACTTCCTTATTTACAAAAAAAAAAACAGTATATCACTTTTTTTTTTTTGTCTTGATGCATTAAAAGCACATTTTGTAAATGTAATAATAATTCCAATCATGGTCAGCATAAGAGACTTCTTTCATGCCTTAAAAACAAATATGACAATAAAACAGAAAAAGCTCAAGATAAATGCATAAACACTATCAGGCTACTCGAGATACCTGTACCTCTTGTTGTTCTACATGTAGTTTTCTCCTGCATGTTTGCGCTTCAGATTCGCTGCATGACTTCTCATCCTCCTCCTCAGGCAGAACTGATGAATTCTGGGAGAGTGATCTAGGGAGGTTATAGAATACATGATTAGCACCGACTCGCTCATCTGTCTGACTCCTCAGCTTATAATTGAACCTTCAAGAAAATCTGTAAAGTGACAGTTCTAATAACATCCAGCAAATGTTCTGGAGACTTTATTTAAAAGCTTTGTAGAGTAACACTGAAACACACGATAAAGAGTCAGATTGGTCCAAAAAAAATGTGGAATTGTATTGCTTTAAAATATTTAATTTTAAACTCTTATTTTTTTAAGTTAGAACAAGGGTCACCAATCTCGGTCCTGGAGGGCCAGTGTGCCTGCAGGGTTTAGCTCCAACTTCAAGTATACCAAGTAAGATCATGATTAGCTTGTTCAGGTGTGTTTGATGAGGGCTGGAGCTAAAATCTGCAGGACACCGGCACTCCAGGAACAAGTTTGGTGACCACTGAGTTAGAAGAACTTAATTTAATTTTGCTCTACTATGCTTTTGATGTGGGGTATAATACAGGTGTGTCTCTAACTAACACCCTATTCATCACAGTTAATTACAATTTAATTCAAATTGTTAATAAACAAAAAGTTTTGTTTGTTTGCTTAAATATCACATAAACACCCTCTGAGACATCTTTATTGTGAGGTGCTGGCAATAGTGTTTTAGCAAACGTGTTAATGCAACTATCAAATAGACTATGGGCCCTATCATACATCTGGCGCAATAAGGTGCAATAAGGCGTGTTTGCAACTGTTTGCCCCGACGTGTTGCTGTTTTCAGACCAGCACAACCTTAATTTTTCCTCCTCTAATCGGCCTGTTCTTTCACTTTCTCTTTCTCTCTTTCGTGGATAAGGAAACAGTGCTGTACACTCCACTGAAGACATCCATTAACCTACATAATTCATTTCGTTTGTTAAGTGCAAAGATTTGTTCCAAAACTATTTCTAAATTCAGTTCTAATTTCCAGCAAAGGAATACATTAACAATGATGTGTGTGGTCAAAAAAACCAAGAGTTATATCCAAATACACATGCTGTGCCCCATTTGGTCCAAAACCTTACAGGTGGACAAATCTAAGCTTGTATTTAATAAAACAAATTTAAATATGCATATAATAAAAACTACTACTAAAAATAATAACATTATACAAAAGCAAATTGACGTGAATAAACTAAAAAAAGCCATGGAGGCAGTGATTTTTAAATTTTTGTAGAAAGTAATTATTTTTGTAATATTTTACTTTGATTCTTTTTCATTTGTAAAGATATGTGTGTATTGCTGTACATCCTGTGTGTATTAAGTAATGTGTGAGCAAGGTGCACAACTAATGCATTTTGCGCTGAACTTTAGACCTGCTTTTAGCCGGTCTTTTTTAGTTCCTCAAAATAGCAACAAGCCAACAATGTGCCTTAACACACCTCCTTTCTTGACTGAAACAAAAGTGTCTAGTCCACAAAGTGGTGCAAATGGATTTGCTATTTAAACAACGTGGCGGAAAACAGGAAAATTAGGGTTGCACTGGTCTGAAAATAGCAACAAGTCTTGGCAAACACGTCTTGCGCCTTGTTGCGTAAGGTGTGTGATGGGGCCCATAGACTTTGCATCTAGATTGTTAAAATAGAGCCCATAATTTGATTTTAGGAGTGGATCCCCAGATATCTGATATGGCAATATATGCAATCCTCTGCCTAAACACAGCCTCCACTCTGCACCTAAAATAAAATGAAAAATTTCTACGCTAAAAAAAAATCCTAACATAACAGTAAATCCCTACATAGGACAAAATTAAAGAGAAATGTGCAAAGTATTCATTATAAAGTAGTCATTTTATATTTTATATTTTGCTTTGATTAGGTGCAATGTTCTTTTCTAATATTTGAGTGATATTAGCTTCTTTTATTTGATCTATTTTAATTGTTTCGTTCTACAGCACCCTTCAACTCACTTTGAGCCACTTTTCTTGTGTTTCACAGTCTGGTTGGGGTTGACAGAATGATCTAGTGGAGAGAGGGAGCGCACGGGCGTGTGGTGGCTCTCACTGCCAAATGTGGGCACGGATCCAGAAACATGGCCCCTGGTGAGGCCCTGAAGTGGAGGAGCAGATGGCGACGGGTTCAGGGGCCCATTCAAGGCCTCCAACAGGGACACAGCTTCGTAGCCTGGTGGGATGTGCTCTGACGCCTGCAGTAAACACACATGTGGCTATTCAGAACTGAAAGCATAACAATATTTGTACTTTTAGTATGGTGCAGACAGATGGTTTGTGTGTTTCTGCATTAAACTGTGCTTAATTTATATCAGGCAATGTTCGAATACTATAGTTCACCCAAAAATGTAAATTTGCTGCATTTTTATAAGGTCATACAAGATGTAGGTGGCTTTTTTCAGGAGAACATTGGTACTCAAAAGGTCATGATCCACACTCATTGAATAATACCATTACTTTACATTCTTCGGAGATATAAAACACAATTTTTTTGGCTCAATGCCTTCCTCAGTTCCTTCCCAGAAGACACACAACATCATGAGACAATAATATTATTATTTAGATCAGGGATCACCAAACTTGTTCTTGGAGGGCGTGTGTCCTTCAGATTTTAGCTCCAATCCTAATCAAACACACCTGAACAAGCTAATCAAGGTTTTACTAGGTATACTTGAAACACCCAGGCAGGTGTGTTGAGGCAAGTTGGAGCTAAACGCTGCAGGGCACCGGACCTCCAGGACTGTTGACCCCTGATTTAGATCATGACGTCAGGTGACCAAAATTCAATGTCTAGCCAGCATCTAAGGACAACATTATTTTGACGCCCAATAACGACATCAAATTTACGTTAATATTTTGTTGATTTTAGATTGCATTGGAAAGTGACCAAAATCCAATGTCTGATAGATGTCATAGTGGTAACGTCCACATATTGTTAAGGTGTAATATGATTAGACTTTGAAATTTGGTTGATTTTAGGTTGATTTTAGGTTGGACTTTGACACTGGCCTGACGTTGGGTTCTGATGTCAACCCAATTTTTATATCCAAACAACATCCAACATCCATCATGTTGACGTCCTGTGCCTGCAGGGTTAAGTTCACACTCTGAGGAAGGCGTTGAGCTGAAACAATTGAGTTTTATAACTAAGAATGTAAAATAAAGAAATTAAACAAGGAGTGTGAATCATGACCTTTTGAGCACCACATCAAAATAATGCAACAGCACAGTGCACACTTCACTATTGATCTGGAATAGAACATGAGTAAAAATATATATTTTCAGATGAAATCGTGGTCGTGAGTGACTCCTATATGATTTACATTTAATGGATACTTGCACTTTGAGAGTTAAAGTAAACATTAAAAAATAAAAAGCATCTACCACTCTGGTGGCATAAGGGTGAGTAAAATAACTGCAAATAAAAATCTTAAGGTGAATTGTTGCTTTAAATTATTAAAGTGTACAGTCCTAACAAACTTTTATGTGCACGCAAAAATCAACTGCTCCAGCACCTTTGGTTGTTTGACATAATTAATGGGATAATATGTATTTTATTTGGCTATAATACGTTTGCTATGAGTAGAACATTGTATGATCTCTGTGAATTACCGAGTGCTCCTCTGAATCTGACGTCTGTGAGGTGATGACAGGGTTAAATCCAGTAGGTGTAAGTGGGCTCAGTTTTTTCCTCATCGCTCGGATTTGAAGAAGGGCACGAAATGCTATGGAGAAAAATGAAGACATTTTAAATGAACAAAATATTTCAACATAAACAATACAAATTTTTCAACAAACAAAATATTGTAAATAAAGGGCCGCTACCACCAAAGATGATGACATAAAAAGTAATCAGAAAATCATTCAACGTTTAAAAGAATAAATGAGTCCCACTGCAATTGTAATGCTAGAAATTAACAATACTATTGGAATCCCTTTCAAAAGCTTCATTCTTTCATTCTGTGTAGTCCCTTATGTATCAAGGGTCACCACAGCGGAATGAACCATTAACTATTCTTGCATATGTTTTACATAGTGCATGCCCCTCCAGCCACAACCCAGTACTGGGAAACACCCATAAGCTCTCTCATTCACACACAAACTCATACACTACGACTGATTTTGTTTATTCACCTATATCGCATGTCTTTGGAATCTGGGGGAAAACTGAATACTTGAAAAGAATCTTGCGCAAACACAGGGAGAACATGCAAACTCCACACAGAAATATCAACTGGCCCAGGGACTCGAACCAGCGACCCTCTTGCTCTGAGGTGACAGTGCTAACCACTGAGCCATCGTGCCACCCCACGCACATGTTTCAAATAGACAGAATATTATTATACACTATTGTGGATTCGCAGTTAATGCTCTAGCTATTTTTAATGATCAATATTGTTGTGAACGGACTTTAAAGGGATAGTTCACCCAAAAATAAATATTTGTTGTTAATTTGCTGTTGATTACAATAAAGAAGATTTTTAGCCGAAACTATAGTTCTTGTGAATCATAAAATGCAAGTAATTGGCTACTGGCACTTTAAAATTCAAAGAAAAGTATTCAGGCAAAGCTAAATAATATGATACATTGAGGACTTATTAAGCAAATCTGTTGGTAAGTGCAATAAAATGAGCACTGTTTGTAATAATATTACCTTTAATCTTAAAGCTTCTGGTCAAGCAACAACAAATATGCAGACACTAACTAACAGATTTGTTTATAACATTTTTATATAAGTTGCAAGTTACAGAAACATTAAACAAGTAAATTGTCTGTATATTGTTTTAGTAGTAGTAGTGGTAGTAGTAGTAGTAGTAGTAGTAGTAATAGTAGTAAACGTTATTGATCTTGACAGGAAATTTGTTGTGGGCATCACCATATTGCTGCAGACATACCATAAAAACAAATAATAAAAACAATACAAAACACAATAGTGACAATAATTATAATGCTAATTAAGTTAAACTCTTAAACTGAAACAGGTAAAATGGATTTCCTCAGTTTAACTTTTATTTAGGAACTCTATATCTCCTACCAGAGGGAAACAATCCATAATGTAGAAACAAAAAATGAGTTGGACCATTCAGAATTCTTTCCTCCTGATTAAGGACACAATTCTCATGTAACACTTAGAGGTGTTAGACTTTTAAAGTGTCAGTTGCTGTTGAAATAAATTTTATAAATCACCACAGTTAAAGTCCCAATTTCAGCTAAGCCATATAGAGGTCTGATATATGATATACATACAGTATATATACATACATACATACATACAGTGCTCAGCATATATGAGTACACCCCCCACAAAACCTATATTTAAATTAATATTTTCTATAGGATGCTTTACAATATCATATTTGTGCATATACATTAGTTTAGTCAGTACTCAAGCCAAATGTGTAGCCTAAATTGATATGATGGGGAAAAATATTAAAGAATTTTAAAAAATAGCAAAAATTAAGAGAAACACAAAATAAATAAATTTTGTTGAAATGTTGTAGTTTGTATGTTCTTTTTTTTGGCAATTTTTTGCATGAATTTAATTGTATTATCTTTCCATTTCTAAAGATGTTCTATGACAATTTTTTTTTTTTGTAATTCTTATGGTTGAAAAAAATATACATGTAAATAGTTATTTTTGCAATATTTTGAAATAAATGTTTCATATATGACATATATTTTATATATCTGAAATCCAAATATGAACTTGTATATCATATATGTAATTATCCTATATTTATATCTCTTTATTATTCATATCTATATTAGATTGCTATATGCGAAAATTCTGTTAATGTTCAACTGAATAAAAAGCTGTATAGAGTAAATAAACATCGAATTTTCATGTTTAGCTGAAATACCCTTATAAGTTCAGTATTTTATTCAATGTAATCCACTACCGCATTCAAGAATGAAACACCACAAACACAAATATCATCTGAGGTGTGTTATATTTTGATAATAATCTCAATCAAAGAGAGTCCTGCACAATGAGAGTGGTACAGGGGTTGGTTCTTACGCAGTCGACAGATGGGGCAACAGTTGGCCTGGTAGCGCAGCGTGTCTGCACAGGCGTTGCACAGGCACAGGTGTCTGCAGGGCAGGATCAGTGTGTCCCGCACGTCCGACAAACACACCACACATTCAGCGCTGTTGTCACTAATCTCATCTTCAGCAACCTGTAAACACCAGTGAGTCATTTTCATACCAATTAATGAATGAAAGCTTAAGACTGACAGATGTCGTCCTTTTTTAAATTAATATGGAGCGATTTATGAGTAGTCACAACAACCAAACACTGTATGCAGTTACTATACTGATGCTTTTTTGTTATACAAATGATTCCACTATTTGCACTGATGTCTTTTTGTGAAGGTGGATGATGACTTGCCTTTGATTCTTGACTGTTGTATTTATTCTCTATGCCGTAGATCTCTTGCAGCAGGTAACTGACTCCATCCACCTAAGAGAAAAGCACACTGAGCTTAAGAGGTTTATTGAACATTTGCCACTTAGCAGAGCCAAATGAGACATTTATATTGCAAAAGCCACCTGATATTGGCTGACCTTTTGTTTTAATGGTTACTTTTTATATATAAAGGCTCATTCAAACTAAAATAGATAACTACAAAGGCACTTACACACAATGACATCCTGGATTTTTTGGGGGGTGCTACTTTAAATGTTAGTGCTTATTAGAGCAGGATTCATTTTAAAGGCTATTTTATTGATTATCAGCAGAAATTAAATTCTGAAAGTGATTGTAATGATTATTTTTTCCATGCAGTTAACATTATAGTTGTGGTGTGCTGATACTTAGAACTACATCTTTACCATTATAATTACCCTTGCTGCTAATGGGGTATAAAAAGTGTTATATAAATAGTAAGCACTTACCACTTGTTTCTGCTTTAGAGGTTTCACGCAGTAACTTCCATCCATATGCTGGAAGAAAAACACAGCAGCTCTTTAAACCATCAGTTGAAACAGTACATTTAGTTTTTTTAAGTGCTGGTTTTAAAAAACACCAGAAATATTATTTAATTCAGCCAAATTACTGAAACATTGCAATTTTTCACCATCATGACAGTACCAAACCCCAAATCGTTGAACAGTAGGAATGTATTTTTATATATATGAGCAATATCACACGAGTAGCAGTGCGATATGGCTGTATATCATTTTATTATTAAAAAGACTTTTATTCTAGCCAAAATTAAGCAAATCAAACTTTCTTCAGAAGAAAAAAATTATAGGAAATAATGTGGAAAATTCCTTGCTCTTTTAAACATCATTTGGGAATTTTTTTTTTTTTTTAAAGTTAAAAAAAAATCACAAGAGGGCGATTAATTGTGATTTCAAATGCACTGTAAAAAATTCAAAAGTTAAAATAATTTTTTTTTGGGGGTTAGTTTAGCAAAAATCAGGAAAAACGTTTGTACAAGTACATTAACACCTTAACTTAACCTAAATCAAACTTTTCTTCACTGAGTTAAAAAGATTAGAGGCAACTTGTTATTTTAAGTTGAGTTAAACTCAGACCTCCTTACTTTAAAAAATAAAGATTGCAGTATTTCAACCCTAACAACAATGTCAAAAATAATAGTAACACCAATAATAAAATTAATGTAATTATTATTAACAACAACAACAACATCAACAAAATACTACTGCAATAATGCTAACGTAATTTAAAGTTGTTATTCATTTGTAATTTATTTTGTTTTTTTGGGATGGGGGGCAAAGCTGCAGAAATACTTTTAATATGAATTTTCATCTCACATTTACCTAGTTCGCTGTACAAAAAGAAACGTTTAGCACATGTGGACTGTTAACTTTAATTTAACTGTTATTTAAATATAGAACGTTTTTTTCCTTCAAAAATTTAAATGACAATTTAAATGCCTACAAAGATCAAAAATAAATTGTACTTTCAAAACAACTACCCAAATGACAAATCAAGTGCTCAAATGATCTGAAAATAAATCAAATTGCATTCTCAAATGAGAAAGCAAATGTTTTTGATTTTTAATTTGCATGATCAACTCAGCAAAATCCTGTAATAATTAAATGACAACTCAAATGCTCACACTATAAAGCTGTGGTCACACTGCACTTTTCGTCCCATAGATGCAAATACACATGCGAATGCGGTAGACCGGAAACACAAGCTCGTGCGACAAGTTTCGCAGTTTGCTGCTTTGGTAAGTTTAAGCTTGGTGAACTTTGACCTGCGAAATTGCATCACATGACTGCCTGAGACCAATCGAAGATCAAAACATGACCTCTCTGGACAGAAATTTAAAACATAAAGCAATCGCTCGCTTTTTTTAATGTTTCATCGTCTTGTTTAATCATGGCCCTTTTCGCAGCGCCGTACAACAGAATTTCACATGCGCAAACTCTAGTGTGACTGCAGCATTATTCAAATGGAGTAACCAATTCTCCTGACACACACAGCCGGAAGATCATGATGGACTGATTATTAGGACTAAAAAGACACCTCATTCACACAGACTCTTTGTTGAGTCTTGTTTTTCACTGTGAAGCATTACGAAGCATTTTCCCTGTTTGTCCTGCCATGTTTTTATCCTTTTCTTGTTTACCGTTATTGTTGTTTGCCTCCTGTCCTGTTTCTAATTCTGTGCCTAATAAATGTTTTGTTACATTTGTCTCTGTTTTATTTATTTGTTTTTTTTAATTGAACTAGGTTTGTTTGTTCTGATAATGTTGTATTTTTTTAGTACCAATTCCCAAAAGAGTTTTTTTGTTCACTAAACTTTAGACATTTTAGGTCAGTGCAACTGATGTTTTCAAAAGTTGAGTAAACAAGAAAAAGCTAAAGAAAACAAGCATTATGTTTTTTTGTTGTTGTATACTGGCTTAACATTTTAACAGTGTGTATAAATTATTAAACAAAAAAACATACCTTCTCAAAGGTTGCAAGAAGAACATGTGAGTGTCCCAAGTGTTCTGCACAAAAACATGATCCAAAATGTTTTCAGATATTTCCATAATATACATTTATATATATATTGTATTACATCCAACTCACCATCTCCCTCATCCACTACTGCTTGTACAACCATCGGATAGATGTCCTTATCCATGTCAAAAAGTAGCTGTGTAATAATAAGCCACAACACCAGGTTTAACCAAGGACACAAATTATGAACAGCTCTATGATTTCTCTAATGACACAAATTAGACTGATTTAATCTGACATTTTTTTAAGCTCTCTCCAGCAAAATGCACAAACACTCAGGACAGAGCTAGCAGATGTTACCTCGTCCTCTGCCCACTCTGATAAGTTGACATAATGAGAGGGCAGACAGAACTGTTGGCAGACGCCGCGTTTGAAATGCACCGTCTCTGACTGCAGAGAGCTGTCCTGCGGCAAATATCTGTCAACAACACACAATGAACAGAGCCATATAAAAACACACAAGCTTTGATGTCATTTTCCGACTAGATCTCCTCTCAGATCAACTGGTAAAGGCTGAAGTGTTTAATAATTAATAAATAATCAAAAAGCAACAGTCAGAGTGTGTCTAATGCTTACATTGGCACACCATTGTGAAACTCTTCAATGGCTTGGTAGTATATAGTGATGGCAACTTGTGTGTCGGCATCAAAGGTAAACTCAATGTTGTAGCAGCTGTGGCTTTTCCCAACTTCCTGTCCAGGCAACTTCATGTCTTCACTACATCTGTAGACAAAAAATAACTTTACTGATTGTCTGTTGCTGAAAGATTTGAGTAAAAATGGGCAGAATGAACACATGACAATGGAGACATATTTTATATTTAAAACCTAATATGTAAGTTTTATTTTAAAAAGTCACAATAAAAGGAAAACCTCAATGTCATTCATTCATTCATTCTCCTTTGGCTTAGTCCCTTTATGCATCAGGGGTCGCCACAGCGAAATGAACCGCCAACTTATCCAGCAAATGTTTCACACAGCGGATATCCTTCCAGCTGCAACCCAGCACTGGGAAAATCAATACACACTCATGCACACTCATACACTACGGCCAATTTAGTTTATTCAATTCACCTATACTGCATGTCTTTGGATTGTGGGGGAAACCAGAGCACCCCGAGGAAACTATAAATATGCTATAAATATGAAGACTACATCAACAACAAGTGACTATCAAAGGAGTATAAAAACCCTCACATATCTAAAAATGTAAATATCTGATCTTATAAAAATGTATAAGATTTATAAGAATTTCTCAAAATAACAACTGAAAATTTAGTTGAAATATACATATGAAAACAAATACTGTCGGATAAAACTCATCCTGCATAATACAGCGTTTAATCTAATTAATCTGAAATAAGATAAATAATATACAATAATAAATATAATAAATAATAATACAGTAAATACAAGTAAAAACCGAGAAACAAGTTGCAAAAAAACTTCTTTTAATTCTGTCTATTTTTATCAAAAAAGTAAATTAACACATCAACGAGGACACATTTTATATTTAACACCTAATATTTGTGTTTTGTTTAGGGTAAAAGGAGCATAAAAACAGCTCAATATCTCAATATCTAAAAGTAGAAATTAGTTTGTTGGCAAAAAAATCAATGAACTCAGTTTAAATAATCCTTTCCATTTTCAAACCTTTTTCTTTTGTTAGAATCAACAACAAGTGACTATCAAAGGAGTATAAAACTCTCAGATATCTGAAAATCTAAATATCTGACCACAAGGAACCTAAATTTGTCGAAACAACAATTGAAAATGTAGTTGAAATATACATATAAAAATAAGTGTCTGAAAAACTTATCCTGTATAACACAGCTTTTAATCTAACCATATACTGTCTAAAATAATTAAGCAATTTACACTAAATACAAGTAGAAACAGATAAGCATGTTCCAAAACACTGCTGTTAACATAATTAATAGGGGCGTTTACATGACACCATTTTCAACTAGAAACAGAAAACCTTTTATGTGTTTTGGTCATTCATTTACATGTCAACAGCCTTTGGAGGCTTGAAAATGCAAATCTTTGAAAACGGGTTTCAGAGTGAAAAAGTTTTTGAAAACAATACCATTATCACCTCTGTGTAAACTACAAAAACATGAGGATGTGAAAACGGTGACATCATGCGCATGTGGATTACAGGGTCTTTAAGCATGTGCGAATATCAGACAATCAAAACTTTGCTTTTGACTGCTCAATTCACTGCATACAAATTCACTTACAATCCAATCTCTTAAACATAATTTAAGCATCATTGTCACTAATGTAAGCGGATATAATTTTTAAAACATTCTCATCCATGCATACAAAAATGCAACCTTAAAACCTGTTCGATATTTAAAAAAGAGGCAATCCTTTTAACATGTCCCATCCAACTATAAAAACATTTAAATATCCAAAAAATGTTAATATATCTAAAATATGTAAATATCTAAAAAAAAAAAAACTAAATTAAATATTGGATATAAAAAAATCAACATTACATATTTAACAGCTAGAACATACATTGTTTTGAATTACTATTAAAAGGAGTATAAAAACATCTGAAAATCTCAAGAAACCTATTTTTGCTGTTGCGTCAGTACAGAGAATCACACAGTTTTTAAGAGCTATGTCGGATGTAGAAAAGATATTTGCAATATAAAACTCACCGGACAAGCCGCAGAGTGTCTTTCCGTATGTTGATGAGACTGCGGAGAGTCTTGACTGGCTCATGAGGAGGAGGAGCATTGTATGGAAACTACAAATCACAATACAAAAAAACAATCAAGGGTTAACTCATTGATGATAATAATAATAATAAAGCAGGAAAAGCACCTTTTCCTGTTTTATAACCCCACATCTGATAAAAAAAGTGAAAGACAATGTCATTTTGCCCGTCTAACTAAAAATCGTCAAACTTAATTGATAAATGCATTCTCCGTAAACTTTTTTGTAAGCTACGAATATTATGATTATTATAATTTTACTGTTTTGAATTCAAGTTTATTTGTATAGCACTTTTCACAATAATTATTGTTTTAAGGCAGCTTTACAAAAGGTGCACATTATTGCATTCCAATCAAAATTAGTAAAAGTTCAGGTTAGGTATATATGTTGGTTTACAAGTGACAGATAAGTAAAAACATCTAAAAAATCATAATCGGACTTCATGGGATCATTTTTTAATTCTTAAATGATAATTTAAAATAATAAAATAAATATTGTATATTTTAAGAGGTTATAAGGTGTATAAAAACATTTGAATATATGAAAATAGAAAAATCTGACCCAATGTAATTTAAATTTGTAAATTATCCAGCAGGCACACAATGTCATATGATGTTGACCTTTAGTTCTATTTTGATTGCAATGTCAGGTGACCAAAATTTGATGTCAATTTGCTGTTCAATACTGACGTCAGCTGACATCTAATGCTGATGCCACCTGGTGTTGATATTTGGTTGGTTTTGGGTTGTGGCATTAACTAACTAAAACCCAACATAATTTTAACATCATGCCATGACATCCATACAATGTCAAAGTCTTTAGCCGTTGATCTTTGGTTGATTTTATGTTGTGTCATGAACTAACTAAAATTCATCTTGATGTCATCTCGATTTTATAAACAACCAAAATTCAAAGTTAGTCTGATGTTGGACTTCAACGTCAATATTACGTCTGTGTAATGCCTGCTAGGTGAGCCCAAGCGAAAATAAAAATCCCCAAGATGTATTTGACAACTAAAACATCCATAAATTTTAAGTGATTATTAAAAGAAGTATAAAAATAACCATTATTTAAATAGCTATTATGTTTATATGTGGTCCCGGCATAAGTGAAATAAAAATGACAAACTTAGTTGAAATATGCATTTAAATGATTGATTCTTATTATGTAGGGAAAAGCACTTTGTCCTGTGTTGTCAGCTTAAATAACTGATACAAATATAATCTGGAAACAAGGCCAAGGTGATGCACACTGATCTCCAAACAAGCTGTTAGGCCGATGCCTCATGTGTATATGTGTGTGTTTTCTCTGGACAAATGCAATGCCCACGTGCCAGCGAGAGGCATCAAGCGTGTGTGGGTCAACACTGGGTGAGCCTGATGCCTCCCCTTCCCCCCTTCAGGCTGAATGTGGCTCTCTGTATTACTTGTGGTAAGCCGTCGCTTAAATCCACAGCATCACTAGCCTGTCTTCTTACGGACGAGTTGAGCAGCTAATGCACACAGAGTAAATAAAGGAGCCTTCATAAAAGCACACAAATATCAGGAAGAAGCTCTGGGGGACACAAAGCAATATGCAGAAGGACAGCTGTACAATTACCTGTGCAACTGGGTCAGAATCACACTTGGAAACAATAAGCCAGCTAGTTGAAACTATTTTTTTCCATCAATAGGAATTTATACACTGTAAAACCCAATAGTGAACTGTATCAAATGAAATGAGTGTAGTTAACTCAAAATTTACTGAAACTCAGTGTTAAAGGCAATGAGTTAATTAAATACATCACCACTTCAACCTAAATGGATTAAGTTCACAGAAGATTAATTTTTTAACTCAAATTGTTTGTAGCAATCGATTTCCTTAACTGGTTTGAGTTGCCTTAATTCATTGGGTTTTACAGTGTATTCAGTTAACACAAATATCACAGGGTTTAAAGATATGAGGAAAATATCCATTTGTGTTTTAAAATGTCTATGCATGTAATTACATTAATCAATATTCACTTGTTTAATATAACTTAAACAATTTACATTCATATCATATTATTTAAAATGTTGAGAACAATAACTGATCATAAATAAAAGATGAACATAATTACATTTTAAAAATTAAATGAAAACCCTGTTAAAGCAAGCATTATATCAACTCAAAGAATGAAAATTATGTTGACAAATTTCTTTATTTATACAGGGTGAAAAATGTTCTGGTTTTCCCCACAAATTCCAAAAACATGGTGAATTGGGTAAGCTAAATTGCCCATAGTGTATGTGTGTGAATGAGTGTGTATGGATGTTTCCCAGTACTGTGTTGCAGCTGGAAGGGCATCCGCTGTGTAAAAGATATGTTGGATAAGTTGGCGGTTCATTCCTCTGTAGTGACCCCTGATAATTAAAGTGACTAAGCCGAAGGAAAATGAATAAATGAATGAATGTTTTTCTGTTATGTCTTAAATCTAATTTTTATATCAAATGCATGAATTTATATTAAAAATGTATATACTTTTTATTATAATATTTAGTATTATTTAAAAATAAATTACATATTTTTTGTAAATTCGTTATTGTAAACAGCATATTTGTGAACGGGAATTAAAATTTTATATATATTTTTTCTAAATATCTGTGGATTATATGTAATGTGAGAAATTATGTGGCATGAGTCATTTCGGACACAGTTTACAGTAAGAGACATGTAGTAAATGTTAGATCAAGTGTTTTCTCACACAAAGTGAGACCAACATAAACAATAAAAACAAAGATTTCACAATAATTAAGAGCATGTATGTCTGGATCTAATAACAGGAATTGAACTGCAATCTTACCACTACTGGTCTGTTGCCTAGGAAGTTGAGGTCTGTGTTTTCACCAAAGAGGTAGCCTTCAGGATGAGTCGAATCAAACTTCTCTCCTCCCATTATAAAATGGCTAGCGAAATAACTTCCTGAAAAGCAAAACGCGATCAAATGTTAGTGATAATCAAGAAATCAATGTAGATTTGTCACCCAGAATTTGAGTTTCTAAAAAATTTATTTTGTGCATTTTCTTGATTGGGCTGTAATTAATTAAATTGCAAATTGCTGTAGAAAAGAATGCAGGCATGGTGGCTTAGTAGTTAGAACTTTTTCCTCAAAGCAAGAAGGTTACAGGTTTGTGTCCTGGCTGGACCAGTTTGCAATTCTGTGTGGAGTTTTAACATTTTGAATTGAATTAAAAACTAAATTGGTTGTATGTGTGTATGGGTGTTTCCCAGCACTGGGTTGCGGCTGGAATGGCATTAGCTGCATAAAACATATGCTGGAATAGTTATGGTTCATGCTGCTATGGTATCCCCTGATGAATAAAGGGACTAAGCCAAAGGAAAATGAATGAATGAATGAAAAACTGCACATTCAAAAAATAAAATGTTTAGTAATTGTCTGCATATCCTTTTCCTAATGAAATCAGACTGTATTTAGTCTTTATTAAGGTATTCATACTTCTTTTATCTGTTGAACACAAATTGAGATAGTTAGAGGAATGTTGGAAACCAGTGTCCATTCCCAGCAGGCATAGGACGTCAACATGATGTCAGATTGATGTTGTACCACAATATCGCGGGACGCTTCATTTTGTTTGGGAATGAAAATCTCAGTGGAAATGAAATGTCAAATATCGATTTCTAATGATGTTACAGCTTGACATTTTATGGACATTCCTACTATGACATCTATCAGAAGTTGAATTTTGGTTGCCTTACCTGACAAATAAATGTCAGGTAGGTCATTTCAGGTATTTGACTACATTGATGAAAATGTCATATTGATGTTGACTTTGGTGCCGTTTTTGTGGATTTTGGTCACTTTCCAACACAACCTAAAATCAACCAAATATCAACGTTCATTTGATGTCATTACTTCAAAATAACGTTATGCTTAGATACTGGCACATTGAATTTGGATCACCTAATGTCACAACCTAAATCTAACCTAATATTAACATCTTATGACATTGTGTGGCTGCTGGGTTGACTCCCACAGTAATTTTTCCTATTTTTTTTACTGCTATAGAATTCAATACAAGGTAACTAACACTCTTTAAACTATATTCTCTTGTGTTCAATAGAAAAAAAAAAACATAAAGATCTAGAACCACTGGAGGTTGAGTAAGGCCCAATCCCAATTCTATCCCTTAGCTCTTCCCCTTCCCCTTACCCCTCGTTTTGCGCATGCCTGTGAAGGGGTAGCGGTGTGAGAATTCTCTTTAGCTTAGAGACGTAGGGCTAAGGCCAAGGGGTATACACCCCTTCAAACAAAGATTTTTCAGGACCACACTCGAAACCAAGGCGGTAGGAAAAATTGAATTGAGATTGGTCCTAAATGATACAGTAAGTAAATTCTCAACTTAGGGTTAACTATTCTTTAAGAGTGATGTTTGTACCCAAGACGACTGAAAGTCTCAGAAAGAAAGATGGATATCGTAGACATAAAAACCAATGGATTCAAGAAAGACAAGCTCAAGGGCAGACAGAGGATATAGGCAAGGATAGATGAACAAGTCTGAAACTGGAGCAGGAGGCAGCACGAATCAGGCACAAGTCCCAAGCTGCACATATAGAGTGTCTGGTTACTTGTGGTTAATTCATCTTCTCATCTGTCTGTCATTGTAAAACCAGCTTTGTGAGTGCCGCATTTTATAAACAAACAAGTTAATGCTACCTGAAAATAGTATACTAAAGAAAAAGGAAATGTTACCTACTATTTACTCACTCGTGAGTGTTTTAAAGGTCCAGTGAAATTAAAATGAAGTTTTTTAGATGCTAGTATCAATATGTTAGGTTTAAGGATATCTATAAGCTAGTGTGTTCCAAAACAGTGACAAATTTGCGTTTAGAAGATGTCACTTGTCACTTCCACCTAAGGTCCTGTCCACGCGAACAGATATTTTCAAAACTGCACTTTTTTCTATACAGTTTTATGTTTGTTTACAGAAAAACAGAGTATCAGGTGACTAAAAACAGAACCTTTTGAAACTCCGGCTAGGGTAACGAATTTCCAAATCTCTGGGTATTGCATTGTTTTCGCTATATTCATTCTTCCATGGTCGGGTGCCACACCAAAATTCATTCCACCATGGCTACATTACAGCTTCTCATTCAAAACATTCATTCATTGTTTTTTAAATAGCAGTTAATAATCGCACCAAAACGTATTGAGAAGTAAATGAATTATAACAGCGCAAACTTTTTCTGTTATCGTAGTAGTGCTGTGTGTTATTTGTTTAACCCTTTAAAGTGACGTGCTGACTGACTGACTGACAGGTGCGTGATGCGTGAGGTTAGCTATTACGACGTAGCTTTCAGTTAAGATGAGCACAGTTTACATAATTATACTTTATGGATAAAAATCTATGCCTCTGCATACAATGACTTTATCTTGCTGGAGTTTATAGCCATTTCACTTTACTTCAGGCCGCATTAATGCCACTCTGTATGTCAATTGTAGTGGAGACATTCATAAATATTCCTAGCAAATTTAACCAATGTGGGAGACATACTCGTTACATAAACGCACTAAATCACACTTGAGTTGCGTATATTTGAGGAGGCGTATGAAGTTTGGGGCACAAACAGAAATCGGCTCACAGGCGAAGAGATTCGCATGGTATTACATAATTGAGATCTTGACTTGTAATACTGCTCTCATGACATTTGTCATTGAAATTACACCATAGGTAGTTGGTAGATCTGTGTAAAAGGCCTGCCGCCACAGCTAAAAAAATCCTGGCAATCCTGGCCAAATCTGCCCACTGGCCTCTTTCCATCATGGCCTCCTAACCCTCCCCATATCATAATTGGCTTCATCACTCTGTCTCCTCTCCACCAATTAGCTGATGTGTGGTGTGCGGTCTGGCCCAAAATGGCTGCCGTTGCGTCATCCAGGTGGATGCTGCACACTGGTGGTGGATGAGAAGATTCCCCCCCATTGTGTGTAAAGCGCTTTGAGTGCCCAGAAAAGCGCTATATAAATGTAAGGAATTATTATTATTATTATTATTATTAATACAGAGTTTTTGCCTCATGATGTCAGTATGCACGCTGTTTTGTCCTTTCTGATTGGCCAATAGGACTGCGTTTACAACAAATAGGAGAGATGCGAATGAGGCAAATTCCATGTTTGCGTCAAACGCATTGTGAATTCTGTGTTGTTCTCACCGTGGGACAGTAATCCGCTTCTCTTTTCTTGTTTGTATTGACTTGTATGCAATTTACCAGCGAAAATGCTTAATTCCTCGTTTGGTGTGAACCCAGCATAAAAATGTCATCATCTCCGTCTGTTGGTTTGGCGTGCCCTTAACAGTGTGTTTTTGCATGTCAGCGCCAATGGTGTAGTGGTTAGTGTGTCGACACATACACTCTTTCTTCCAGTTTGATTCCTGCCTCGAGGTTCTATGCCAGTCCTTCCCCTCTCTTTGCTCCCCACACCTTCCTCTCAATGTTTTCTACTGTTCATTAAAGGTGAAAAGCCATTTTCCTCACATCACCTCATACTTCAGTTTCTCAATCTTGACCAATCAAATGCTCTCTGACATGCCATGCCCCCTACAAGACGCATCTCATTTGCTTTTCATTTGATGTGTTGAGCTCAACCACTCTTACTAGCAGAGCTGTGATAAAACAAAATGCTATTGGCTATTTTTTAAAGGGGAGGTGCAACTCTATGTCCCACCCTTTCGTCATGTTTCAGTTAAGCTTATTATGTCAAAGATTGAATAAAAAATGCCCATTTCAAAGCACTTTATGGGCCCTTTAAGCATTTCTGAGTTACTTTTTGTTTTTGGTTGAACACAAACCAAGATTTTTTTTTTTAAATATTAGAAATTATTAGCCACTGACTGCCAGAGTAAGGAAAACACTTTTTCTATTTGTGTTAACCAGAAAGAAGAAACAGATTTTACCTACTGTACACTCTCATTTCAGATTCAGTTTATGCTGAGCACAAATTCATGCAAGACGTCCCGCGTGCTGTAATTTTGTGGTGTATTTCAGTGGACACAGCACCGCTGGGAATGCTGAGACTTGTATCAATATAAAGACAGCATCTGTGGGCTTGCTGAGCTACTCACAGACTTGCTGACCAAGAAACAGTGGGTGGAGGCTCTGGTGTTCAAATGAACAGAGGCACCCCTGGGGATTTCACATGCAAGTAGTGAGAAAAATATTCATCTCAATTCTGAAGCCAGTTTTATCATGACTGGTCATTTTTATACCATTTTCTCAATATTTAAAGAATCTGAAAAAGTTTGGGTTTTCTCTGCTGAGACTGATATATTATAATTATGCAATATTAGAAGAAGTAAGAAAAATGATATTTTAAGACATAAGAGACATACTATTGCAGTAAATAAGTAAAGTTCCTTATTTAAATCCTAAAGTTAAATTTACCCTAGCTGCCAATTATATAACATTTTTCAAATTTGGCCTTCCCTATTGGGCCTAACAGTTTTGTTTAGCTCTGATTATAGCTCTAATCGAATTACATTTTACGTATTACATATTTATGTTCAACTTAGTTCCTTTATTACTCTGGGATCGCCACAGCGGAATGAACCACCAACTTATCCATCATATGTTTTACACAGCGGATGCCCTTCCAGACACAACCCAACACTATGAAACACCCATTCACACTTCATACACTACGACCAATTTAGCTGATGCAATTATAGGTCTTTAGACGGTGAGGGAAACGGAGCCCCCAGAGGAAACCCACACGAACACAGGAGAACAAGCAAACTCCACATAGAAATGCCATCTGACCCAGCCGGGGCTCGAACCAGTTACCTTCTTGTGATCGTGCTACCCATTGTGCCACCGTGACGCCCTGTGTATAATATAAAATTCATTTATTTTATTTTCGGCTTAGTCCCTTTATTATTTAGGGGTCACCACAGTGGAATGAACAACCAACTAATCCAGCATGTTTTACGCAGCGGATGCCCTTCCAGCTGCAACCCTGCACTAGGAAACATTCATACACTTTCATTCACACACATACTATATGGCTAATTTAGTTTTTTCAAATCACCCATACCACGTCTTTGGACATGGAGGAAACTTTGTATGGAAACCCACGCAAACACGGGGGAGAACATGCAAACTCCACACTGAAAAGCCAACTGACCCAGCCAGTAGGGGTAGCACGGTGGTGCAGAGGGTAGCACAATCGCCTCACAGCAAGAAGGTTGATGTTTCAAGTTTCAAGTGGCTGGGTCAGTAGGCATTTCTGTGTGGAGTTTGCATGTTCTCCCTGACCCTGTGTTGGCGTGGGTTTGCTCCAGGTGCTCCGGTTTCCCCCACAGTCCAAAGACATGCAAATTAAATAAACTAAATTAGCCATAGTGTATGTGTGTGGATGAGTGTGTATGGATGTTTCCCAGTACTTGGTTACAGCTGGAAGGGGCAACCGCTGTGTAAAACATATGCTGGATACTTTGGCGGTTCTTCCGCTGTGGCAACCCCTGATGAATAAAGGGACTAAGCTAAAGGAAAATTAATGAATGATATAATATAATATAATATAATATAATATAATATAATATAATATAATATAATATAATATAATATAATATAAAATAAAATAAAAGAATATAATATAATATAATATAATATAATATAATATAATATAATATAATATATAGTAGAAAAAGCTATTGTGTGTTAATTTAAATTCTAGATGCAATTTATTGCAACTGCCAATCAAAAACAGTGTAAAATCTGAACAGGCTTGTGTTTCTTTAGTACACTTGACAGTTATTTTATACACATATATATTGCTGTTATAATTTATAATATAATAATAAAATATATTGAAATTTAAAAACATCATCTAAATTCTGAAGTGAATTTAATGTAGACTGCACATCAATTTGTAGGCCTACTATTGTTAATATAAAAGCTGGGTCTAAAATAATATAGGCTAATACAATAAATATATATATTTTAATAGAAGATTAATATTACAATGCTGTTTAGTAATATAAAGTCAGAAAAAACAGTAATAATGACTTTCAATAGAATAATATAATACTAGGCCTATATATAATATAATGACAGAATATAAAATATATAACAATATATATTCTCACCAGATTTGGGTGGGTATCTGTAAACAGAATTAGACGGTATATCGACCTCCTCCACTCCTGCATTCTGACGGCTTGTCAAAGCTCCCATTTCAGAAAGACACAAATTAAAATAACAATAAACGATTGCGATCCTACAGCTGTTGCTTCTTTTTTAGTCCGAACATCTCCTTCTTCAGGCGAAAGGCCGTTTTTTGCTCTTCGCTTTTGTATTTTTGGCCATGCACAGGATTAGTTGGTGCTCTTAATGCCCTGTAAGCTCCGCACTGAGTCCCTCGTTGTTTTGTCTGCAGCCTCAAGCTGATTTTTGCGTCCATCAGACTGCATAGCCCTGTTTTAAGGCTGTCTCTGTCTCCGTGCTTGGCATTCTGGGCCAGGTAAAAAAAAATTGGGAGTAAGATGCTCTCTATATGACACAGTTTCTCGGCATGTTTATCATCCTCATCCCTGTATCCTCTGTTCTCCGAGCGCTTGAGCGATGGGATGCAGATGCGTGTCGGTGATGTAGAAACTGAAGCAGAGGGTAGAACGGCGGTGCGCGTGAACCAGATATCCTAGATGGGCGGGTACAAGGATTATATTTAATTTTGTTTTCATCTAGAGAAATGTTATTTCACACCATACAAATGTACATTTTACATGACGGAAATTGCATAATGTTATGTTGGCTAGTATACTTTGAAGGAAGATCTGCAAAAACAATAAATAAATACGCAAATAAATAAATAAAGGAGAAAATATATCCACGAATTTCTGCATAAATAAAACAATAAATAAATAAACATGTAAATAAATAAATAAATGTACATAAAAATCCACAAATTCTTGCATTAATAAATAAGTTATAGTGCGGGCAGGTAAATAATAAAATAAATAACATACATGTTGGGTGAATAAGAAAATGCTAAACTGAAAGTTAATCTTTTCCCCTTTTCATACTTTTTTTTTTTATTCTTGAACTTAATAGCGTATTTACCAAACATCAGGCCAACGTGCTAATGAGAGGGTGTCTATCAATCAGAAGCTAGTCAAAAAATCTAATGCTAAATGCTTTTAACGATCAACCAATGATGGCATAAAGACCGCCTTCTCTGACAGACACTTATTAGCATGTTGTGCTGAGGTTAAGTAAATATGCAACTACTTTGACGAATAATAAATGTTTAAAAAAGGGGAGAAAATTAACTTTCAGTTTAGCATTTTCGTATTCCCCCAACATTTTTGTAATTTGTTTAATTATTTACCTGCCTGCACTGGTAATATATATTTTCTGCAGGAATTTATTCATTTGCTTATTTATTGTTTTATTTATGCAATAATTTATTTACTATTTATTTATATATTTGTGTATTTATTTATTTATGTGTTGTTTTTGCAGGTTTTATAGTAAACGAAATTTGTATATTAAATTATATGTCAATTTGTATATTTGCATTCACTATACTTATTAATTTATATATTTATTTATATTCATCTTGTTTTTTTTTTTTTTTTTTTTTTTTTTTTGTGCTCTCTCTGTCATTCTGCTGCACTGTAGAAGCTTCTGACATGGAAACAAATCCCGTATGTGTAAACATACCTGGCTGGCAATAAAGCTCTTGCTGATTCTGAAATATCTCTGATTATAGCAACGATTAACTTATAGTCCAAATTTTAATAATTTTATGCTTTTATTTGTTTTAAATTGTTTACATTTACAAATATATTTATTTACTAAAATAATCCAGTGTAATTGAAATGCAAATGACGAATATTTGATTGGCAACTAGTTAAAACACATTATTATTTGATACATTATTTCCTTTGTGAATTTGGCTTGATACTGGTTGACGTTTATTTTATTTAATCAACATTATAGTTTAATAAAGAATAACAAACAGTTTTAGTTCTATGATTATAATTACCTACTTAAATGCATAACAGGACACAATATGATATAGGGTCTATATCATGATATAGGGTTTTTTCATCATACATATATAGAGCTTTACTTTTACATTTGAAAAATATTACACCAAATTCATAAACAGTATTGTTGCATTACACAAAAAAGCAAGAACAGTTCATTACAGAAATGCACATTTTTGAACATATTTCCAGGATTTCTGCAGGTTTCACCAAGTCAAGATTTTTAAAGACCTTTTTACGACCATGAAGAAGAAAATTTCAGACTTATATAGGGGCGGCTAAAAGCATTTTCTTTAATGGCACAGGAGAAAAAAAAATACTTTCCCCATCAAAAAAATATAATAATTAGTAATTTCTTAGCAACATATTTTATACAATATATTAAAACAAGCTGACGTAGTTGTTAGATACACATTTTTTAACATAATTAAAAAAGAACTAAACTGTGCACAACAGACGGTTATAAAATTTATGAATAATGTTTTGCTAAACCTTTTAGGCTGGACACGGTCTTACATTTTACACTTTTGGTATTTTCACAATGCATTTAATTAAAAATGTACAGTTTTATAAATTTAGATATTCCTTGAGAATCGAACCCACAACTGTTGTTGTTGCTATAGCATTAGTCTTCTACACTATAAAACCCAATAGTCAACTTTATCAAATGAAATGAGTGTAGTTAACTAAAAATTGACTGAAAGTTTATTACTCATTTGAAAAGCATTTTGAACTCAGTGTTGGAGGTAATGAGTTAATTAAACACCTCATTACTTCAGCTTAAATGGAGAAAGTTCACAGTACTCATATAGATTAGTTTTTGAACTTAAAGGGTTTGTTTCAATCGGTTTTCTTGAACGGTTTGAGTAAGCATACCTTATTTTTTGAGGTTTTAAGTGTAGAGATAGCTAGTCTTTGTAATGAATACATTTAAAAGACTCTATGTTTAAGTATACAAACTTGTCTCCAATAAAACAAAAATGTCCTGTTATGAATATAGTAAAATGAAATATTTAGGTAAATGTTCTGATCCTCCAAGCGCCGCCTGCTGGACGTGATCATTTTGTCTGACTAGAAAAGCACGTCCTGCTGCTCAATGATGAGTGCTGTGTAATATCTGTCCTCAGAAGCGCTATTGGCCACCCCTGACGTCAGGCTTAAATCCAGACTTGAGGTTTTGCGCAGTACAAACACATCCTGCCTCGACAAACGTGACCTTCGCCGAATTTTGGAAGTGATTCACTGCAGTGCAGTAAAGGTGATATAGGATGACTGGTGTTAAATGAATAGTCTACATATGTCAGTGAGCTCTGTTCGATTTTAAATGTATTATTTTTATATTATTTAGTAGGTTGAATGTCACGCTGTGAAATGCATTTCGCATACAAGTTGCAGAAAGGAAGATATGCACCAAGGGAAATAATTATAATTGGCTAGATAAAAGTGTTACGATCCAGCAAAATGTCAAATACAAACAATATATTTAGTATTTATAATATTGACTGTGTAACTTTTTATGTAAAGACCATTTAAGCCATATGTAACCAAAGTACAATTTTAAAGTTGATTTTACATTTCAATTTCTTAGTTTTAAATAATTTTTTATTCAGAACTCATTACAAAGTACACTACAATCAGCTCAAATGACATTAAAACAGTAGAAATTTTTAGCAGCTGTGCATTGTTTTATTTGTTAATTTATTTTTTCAATATTGTAAATGCTGTGTCAAATACATTTTTAGTACAGAACGGTTTAATTATTTATTTATGCATTTACAATTTGTACAATTTTTATCAATAAATGATCAATATGATCAAACTAATTATGAATAAACATATTTGCAAATTTATTACTTTAAGTTATAATACTTATTTCAGCAACAATAATAACAATAATGATTATTATTATTATTATTATTATTATTATTATTATTATTATTATTATTATTATTATTATTGATATTCCATTATAGTGCTTTTCTGAGCTCTCAAATGCTTTACATATTTGGAAGAATCTCATCAACTGATGTTGGGTTTCCTCTAAATACAATCAAGCAATCAAGCTTAGTTTCTTTAACCGCATCTGAAAATTTCATGAATTAACAGAAAAATTTGCTAGAAGATTTCTCAATTTAGAAATATGAATTCAGTTATGTAAATACATTCAATTTTACTTGCATAGGCCAGGGATGCCCAAAGTAGGGCCCGCGGGCCAAAGTTGGCCCATGGTAACCTTGATTTGACCCACCATCCCATCTGAGAAGAGATTGAGATGGATGGAGACGGTTGAGGCGAATGCCTTTAACAGAGATCTATACAAACTAATTTCTAACTACAAACTGAAATGAAATGTTTAAAAAATGTTGTAACTGAATTAGATTTTAAAAAACTTAAACAATGTCACTCGAAAGATAGAGGATTGGGGAAGACATTAGTGAGCAAATCAAGGCAAAAAGTTCACTGTAAAACCTAAAAAGTTAAGGTAACTGAAACCATTTGAGGAAACCGATTGTAACAAACCATTTAGGTAAAAAAAAGACTAATCCTAATAAGTACTGTGAACTTAATCCATTTGCGCAAAAGAAGCAATTTGAGCACAGTAAAACCCAATAAATGAAGAGAACTCAAACCAAATAAGTACTGTAAAACCCAATAAGTTAAGTCAACTCAAATTGTTTGACGAAACTAATTGCTATAAACTATTTGAGTTAAAAAAACTAATCTATATGAGTAGTGTGAACTTCATTTAAGCAATGAGGTATTTAATCAACTCATTACCTTCAACACCGAGTTCAAAACTCTTCAAATCAGTACAATTAACTTTCAGTAAATTTTGAGTTAACCACACTCATTTCATTTGATAAAGTTGACTGTTGGGTGTAGTGTAGTGTAACTCCATTCTGATATAAATTAGATTGTTTTTTTAACTACTGTAATACATTTATTATGAAGTGTAAAAGAATTATGCTGTATTAGTTAATATAAAGCAATGTGTTCTGGTTATTTTTAAATATTATTAAATAAATTGGGAAATTACAGATGGTTTACCTTCAGCCCACTAGCCTCAATCAAGTTTGGTTTTTGGCCCTTCATAAGAAAAAGTTTGGACACCCCTGTTATATATATGGTGATGATGATGATAATCTTGTTCCCTCTTTTGTTCTCTGCTACATTTGCTCTCTTCAGAAGACAGGGAGGAGTTTAGGAGCAGGTAACGTGTAGTGGCAGTCAAACGCCAGAGGTGGCGGTGTTTTCACGCCATTCAAAGGAAATAAAAGCCAAGCTCCACCAACCACGGAAATCCGGTTACCGCCATTTTAGAGTGTTATCTACTCGGCGTGTTTGTCTCCACTCTCTCGAATGGTTCGCTAATTTCTTTGTAAATCTCGCTGGTAACCGTTTTATTTCTTCCATAACAGACTGCTGTAGAGTTAGTGATTCAAGATGAGCTACGGCAGACCACCGCCCGACGTCGAGGGCATGACATCTTTAAAAGTCGACAATCTGACATACCGCACGTCTCCTGAAACGCTGCGGCGGGTTTTCGAGAAATACGGCCGAGTCGGAGACGTCTACATCCCAAGAGACCGGTACACAAAAGAGAGCCGCGGATTCGCCTTTGTCCGTTTCCATGATAAGCGGGACGCGGAGGACGCGATGGATGCCATGGACGGCGCATTGCTGGACGGGCGCGAGCTGCGCGTGCAGATGGCGCGATATGGGCGCCCGCCAGACGCGCACTACAGCCGCCGCGGAGCCCCGCCGAGGAGATACGGGGGATATGGACGGAGAAGTCGAAGGTAAGGCCTAAACGTTTGTAAATAAATTACATGTCATTTTATTACGGTATGTGTATTTTTATCACTCCATTAACGAGTTTCTATTATTTTACCGCTAAAATAAGGACTCTAACGCGGCCTAGTGCTAATATAAACAGCACGTGCTATAATCATTGTTGGGCTCAATACTAATTAAGTTTATTTTGCCATTTTTATTTGCTTGATCTGTATTTAACATGCAAGTTTCGCGTCGTAATTACTACGTAGATTCAAACGATTGCTCAACTTTGTGAACCGTTGTAATTCTTGAACGAATGGTTCTTTGGAGTCGGATCTTTTCAGTGAATCAACTGCAGCTGTTCAAAACTCTCCTGGCGTATTAAACTTCTCTTTTTAAAATTAATTCACAGCAATTGTTAAAAATGTGGAAAATTCCACTGTCACCGTGTAGTAATTAAAGAAATGTTTTATTTATAATAATAAAATTAAACCGGGAGCTAACGGTTCAGAACACCCGACTCATTTAAAATGATTCAAACTTTACATAGTTGTGATTTTTGAATAGTTAAATCACTAATTTTGCTGGAAAACATGGTAGTTTTGATTACATGCATACTATGCAAATTATTTTGTATAAGCAGTTAAATAATTCAGAGTATCATATTTTAACATAATATTGGCAGTTCTTTGTGTGTACTAAAATTGCTCATTGTGATTTTTTGCTTTTAGCCGTAGTCCTCGGCGCAGGAAGCACAGCAGGTCCAGATCCAGAAGCAGGAGCCGGTCTCGTTCCCGAAGCAGGTCCCGCTACAGCCGATCCAGATCCCGGTCTTACTCTCGTTCCCGGTCTCGGTCCCGATCCCGCTCCAAAACCCGCACCCCTCGCAGAAGCAAGTCAAAATCACCTTCCAGGTCCCGCTCAAGGTCCAAGTCCAAATCTCACTCCAGGAGCCGCACCCCCAGATCGAACAAAGGATCCAAATCCAGGTCCAGATCAAGAAGCAGACCCAAGTCTCCAGAGGCTACTGATGACGCTGCTGTTGAATCGTGAAATGTAAGCAAACCTAGTGCTTTAAATGAAAGTTTAAATCCTATTTATTGCAAGTGGGTGGGTGGGTGATATACACAGTTATCCAAGAAAAAAAGTGCTGTTAAATATTGTATTACCATGATTTGAGCAGATCTGCTTATTGACCCTCTTGTAACTCATGCCAGAAATGAAATGAAGGCATGCATGCATGCAATTTAGTAACTTTATAATAGTTGCTTTTACTGTTTGCCCCCTCTGCTTCCCTCTTGAATCAAGTTCTTCCAGTCATCTGCAGAAGTGATCGATCGGTACATATATTCTCCTAATGGAGGTGTCAGGTTTTATCTAAGATTAGTCTGTCGGAGCTGTTTTTCACAGCACCCGTCTAGTATCTCTGACATTGCATGACATTTTTAAAGGTTTATTTTTAATGCACATCCTAAACCTCAAACTGGATATTTGATTGGGAGCTGACGTGGGTATGATATCGTAAGTATTTGTTTGTTTTGAAACGTGTACCAGCCAAAATCAATTGATTTTATCTAAATGTGGAATTCTTTCCTCCAAGCTGCTGATTCCTGTTTGCAAAAGAGGAGTTTGGGGCAGTTTGAGAGCAGTTAGTGTGTGATCCGACCATTGGCTGCCTGCTGCTGATTGGCGGTTGCTATGGAGCAGGTCGGTCTCATTTGAGTGTTGAGGTGGTGTTGAGGTACGTCTGCAGGACAATGGACTGAGACCTTTTCATCATCCTTGTCACAAACTCATGTCTATCATGGCATAGGCAAAAGCAGGATGGAAATAACGGGGTGCGTTCTCAGAGCTATTTTAAGCTGTCTGATTTTAAGCCTGAAGAGTATCTGATTTTTAGGCCCAGTTATACACATAATTTTTTTCAAGCTATTTAATATTTTAACTGGCAGTAACTTCAGCTTTCTGACGCTTAAAGTGGCTATGAGAAGATGACATTGCACCCTCAGGTTTGTTGGCTCTCTTTCCCTTGAGGTTTCTTGCAGAACAAACATCAGGTACACAATGAGGTTTCCTGCAGAATAAATCCGGTCCATAGATTTAATGTAAAAATGGCTAGCTTCTCCTTTAAGAAGTGGAAAGAGTGCCTGTTTGTTCTGTATAAATGACCAAAGTTGAGCATTGCGTAATAAGCCAATGCCTCATTCTATGGCGATGTGCCTATTATTGCAGAAGCTCCTCTGCTTTATTGATTTTGGAAACTAACTTGTTTCTTCTTTTCTTCTAGATGATGACTGGTTGAATCTTCAAGGATCGCAGTGAACAGATGTCCGTCTGAGGATACCCAAATTATCCATATATCAGACCGAAAGGTTATTGTAATTTGGTCTACATCTTTTTAAATGATTTTGTTTCTCCTCTTTTGCCCACATTTTTGTATCAAACACATTTCATGTGATATTAAATGATCTTTATGCCTAATTGGGGATATTAGGTGAAATCATTTCTCTTCATTTTGGTAGTTTGCTTATTTGTTTTCCCCTTCCCTACTTCATGTTATTGAACCTCACAGACTTTAACGTAAGTTCATTTTAATTAGTTTTTTTGTTCTTAATAAACAATTATTAATGGACAGTTTTGGATGTTGTGCTTTTTCTCCTTATTTTGACTTAAAAGGACTGGGTAAAGACTGTAAATTGGCCTCTTTAAGAATCTTACAATGTAAAACCATGACATCATTATTGCCAACAGAGCAGGTCTTGTGTTATGGTTTAAATGGGCAAACTTCACAGCCACATGTCTCTAATGTTCTCTCTTGTGTATTTTCTATGCACTAGGCGCAGTTGCGTAGCAGTTGAGTTTTGCTGGTTAGCTGTTAAGGTGGCGTGTTGCGGTGCAGAGTGCTTGGCTGTTTCCAGTATTCTCCTGATTGCTCCTGTGTAACGCCCCGATTTGTTTAAATTTGGCTGCTGCGTTTTTATTTGCAGAAACATCTTGTGCAAGTCTTTTTATGAATATTCATAATGCAGATGTCTGAGCTTAACTCATATCCACAATAGTTCCATCATTCAACATGCTCAATTTGTAGTAATTTCCATGTGAGTGGTAATAAAGGTTTCCTTTGTGTATACCTAATTCTTTACTGGTCTGTCAGTGTCTCTTATGATGTTTGATGTAAACGCGCAAATTAAAAGCCTCCATAACTGGAAATAAATTGTATGTTGATACAAATTATTGGGACTCCTGTGAGCTTATTCATGCTTCAAAAGTAAACTGCATTCAGTTAAGTTTCAAATTTTAAATGTATATATTCACACACATACACTTTATAAATAGATATGTGTGTGTACACATCTATATATATCTATATCTATATATATATATATATATCTATCATCCTTGTCACAAACTCATGTTTATCATGGCATAGGCAAAAGCAGGATGGAAATAACGGGGTGCGTGCTCAGCTTTTTTTTAAGCTGTCGGGTGTCTGATTTACAGGCTCAATTATACACATACAATTTTTTCAGGCTATTTAATATGTTAACTGACAGTAACCAGCTTTCTTTCGCTTAACGTGACTATGAGAAGATTACATAGCACACTCCCGTTTGTTGGCTCTCTTTCCCTTGAGATTTTATAAATGTATATATATATAAGGAAAGATGGATGTATATGTCTACACACATACACAGTCAACATTTGAAGTGGATCAAAAAAGATGAAAATTGTAGCTAGACTAAAACCTAATACTTTAACTCAAACCATTTAAGGAAACCAACTGCATCAAACCTTGTTAAATCTTGAAACTTTGAGTACTGTAAACCTATTTTGAATCAAATTAACTAAATATTTTATTTCAAATGAATGATTTCTGTTAACTTGAACAAATTAAGTTCAAACCGCTGTATAGCTACTCTTAGTTTGAGGAAACCAATTGTGGTAAAGGGCTTAAGATGCCATAATTGGTTTTCTCAAACCTTTTGAGTAGCTATACAGTACAGTTTGAACTTAATTCATTCTATTACATAAACACCCATTTAAACTAAGCAAACACTAACATGTAAACAAGAAACTACATTTCAAGGAGGCATTGTAATGCAAATATGTATTAGTTAACTTATCTTAATCTTAACATGTACAGGAATCACAAGAATTAGTTTTTGACTGGCACATAAAAAAGTCCCAAGATCACCCGTTTTTTTTTTTTTTTTTTTGCATAAAGGTCTGAATATGACCTGTTCTAAAAGACAGACATTTAACCCTCTACTGATGTCATACTTTTGTTTACACAACTGCAAATTTGGACCAAAATGATTTTTCTAATAATTGAAAATTTGAGCTATTGGTTCATTTTCACTTTAGAGTATCCCTCCTATGCTGTGCGCATCTTTTCATTGATCCAGTCTATGAACTTTGTGACACGGGCATAGACACCTGGCTTGTTCTTCTTGCCACAGCTGTCGCCCCAACTCACCACACCATAGATGTAATGAATATTGTCCTTCTTACAAACCAGGGGTCCACCGGAATCACCCTACAAATGTTAAACCAAGTAAAAATTGTCATGTGATGTGCATACAAAATGATACACTATTCAATTCAAATGAAATAATGTTACAAAAACTTGCAATAGGTAAGCACCTGACAAGAGTCGATCTTTCCCTGCATATATCCAGCGCACATCATGGAATCGTCCATTCTGTTTCCATAAACGTTACGAGACATGCAGCGGCTCTGAGAGATCAGGAGAACTTTGGCATCCAGCAGCTGAGTACTAACGCCATGATCTATAAATAAAAGTACAGTAAGTAATAGTAAGAAACAAGTGAATGTGTATAGCGAAAACAGAAAGGAGTAGGTATACGTTTCTCAGTAGCTCCATAGCCTGATATTGTGCACCGTGTTCCTTCAGGGAATAAATCGGTGGGAAGGCAAGCTGCCCTGACAGACCTGGACTCATTGGCACACCGTCCATTCCGTCCCTTCAGTTTCAGGAGGGCTTTCATAGATGAGAAACAAAAGCACTGTGATGTGAGCATAACTGGTTAAAAATAAGTAAACTATAGTTTTTATTTTCACATTTCACTTAATATGGATTATCCTGTTTGAAACCATTGGAAACACAATGTGTTGTGTATATCATTTTTTAAAGGAATATTTCATTTCACAACATAAAATCAATTCTATGTACTTCAGAAACACTTTTCATTGATCACAAGGCTTGTTTGCAAAATGGATGGTAGGCTATACAGCAATAGTGTATCTTTAAAATTTTGATGATTATACTGAGAGATGGATGGATAGATAGATGATCGACAGATGAACAGACAGATAGACGGATAGATGGGTGGGTGGAAAGATAGATAGATAGATAGATAGATAGATAGATAGATAGATAGATAGATAGATAGATAGATAGATAGATAGATAGATAGATAGATAGATAGATAGAAATATAGAAAGACGGATAGATAGATAGACTGACAGACAGACAGACAGACAGATGGATGGACGGATGGATGAATGGATGGATCGATCAACATTTGAAGTGGATCAAAACCTTAAATTTTTTTCTAAAATTATTGAACAGCATCTATTTGTGTCTTAGTACAATTTGAATTTTAAAAACCACTTTTGTGCCACATTTTTGTGTTGACTACGATTGAACTTAAAATGAATTGTGTGTTTCAGTGTTTCATCAAGTGTTGTTTCAGCTCATTTTTAATAATTAGTCTGTACAAGCAGCAAAATCATGTGAGCGCAGGAAGATGGATAAACTATAGACAGATAGTTCACATAAATAGTGAATCACTGACCTATATCATTATAGAGGGCGTCAAAAGTCTCTGTGTAGTTCTCATGAACAATGATTTTCTCCACCTCCACAAACTGTTTATCAGGGTCATCTTTCTCCAGGTTCACACCACCCAACTCCACCCTCACCTCATCATTCTCATCGCTAGCATGGTTATGCATATAAAAAAAATTGAGACTTAACACTTCATAGACTTAACGAAACAACAAATAAATCCAACCTACATGCAGTGGGCTGCCGTCAGGATCCAGCAGGAGTCAATCAGGGTTCCTCCACAGTTATGCTCAAAGGTTGCATTCGAGCCCTTGGGACGCACCTGAAATGAGGCCTGCCAGGGATGGGCCTCGGGTAGGGACTTCCTCCCACCAAATATTCTTGGCGCTATCATGCTAAATGCGGCCTTTCCACAGTCTGAAAACTCCAGTTTTGTAGGGGTAGTTAAGGGTTTTTCTGGTTCTGTCAGTTTGGTATACAATAAAAAATGTGTAATTAACATGTTGTTCGAGCAAGAAGAGCAATGGGTGTTTCTTTGTTTAATTTAAAAGTACAATTAAAAATCTATGCCTGTTTCAGAGCATGGCTTGACATTGCAGTAGTTCCACTGAAGCTTTCCCTTTTCCTTTACAAAGCACCAAGGTTCTCGGTCTCCATCTGGATTCCTTAAACAATAACGATAGTGATAAGACGACAATGTTTAATATGACATGTAATACAAAAACTCATTGGTTGCTTTATATCTCAGTCAGTCAGTCTCTGGTCAATGCAAGATGCACTCCAGACCTGTTTGGCTGCACAGGGTATGAATAAAGGTACGAGTTCTGTCACTGTGCTGTCAAATGTGTACCACAAATGTTGTACTTAAAGGGTCCATATTGGTAGCTCAATATTAGTTTCTCTTATTAGTACCTACAAATTTCAAGAGGTACGCATACTTTTTTAGGTAGTAGTATGTACCCTTGAGGTAATAATTAGGACTATTTAGTTAAAAATATAAACCTTTTATACCACCCCAGTGACAGCTATCATACCTTGTATTTTTGACTGTGTAGATTAGCACTAAACCAGCTCCGACCAGCCTGGACCAACACTGAGTTCATGCTGGTTTACGGTGGATTTTACCTGCAGTAATTGTGTTCTCCAATGCTCTCATTCCCTTCAAACTCTTTGTAAGGAATAAGATTGTGGTTCCAGGGTAAACACTCAATTTCTTCTATTGTTTCACTGACATTGCCTCTGTATGATTCCCCATTCCCTTCATAGCAATCGTTTGAACCTAAATAAAATGATATAACATTGTATTGGGTTATTTAAAGTAACAGCTATAAAATATAAAATAGAAATGTATAAAATATAAAGACGCCTTTACCAACTTGGCAGAACCTCCCACTATAATCTTCAGGACAAGTGCATGTGAAACTTGCTCTCGTACGGCCTTTAACACACGTTCCCCCATTCTGGCATGGACTTGGATTACATGCATAGGCTAATAGTGCAAATACAAGCATAACATTTAAATAAAAAGACAAGTTTTTAAGAAAGAATGAAGAAAGGAGGAATTTATTAAACCTGAGTTTAGTGAATAATTATAAAAACCAAGCACAGAACAAAAAACTGCTAAATGAACTTTGCATCAGAAAATTGGAAAACACTCACCATTCTTGCACTTAGAACCCCGATACGGAGGCCAGCACTTGCACTCATAAAATGGGTCTTTTTTTATTCTGACACAATCACCATTACCACACTTCACTTTTTTACACACGTTCTTCTCTGAAAAGACAAAACAAAAAGATTCAAATTGAGCTAAGAATGCTTGTTTGTTAACATGTGTTTATTAATAAATGGCTCCCATTTTACCCCTGTTACAAGATGTAAGATAAGTCTCCAGTGTTTCCAGAATGTGTCTGTAAAGTTTCAGTTAAAATACCCATCACATTAATGATTATACAATGCAGAATGTACCCATTTTGGGCTCAGAACAAAGTGTTGCTGTTTTTTAAAGCCAGTGTTTTTAAATGCAAATGAGCTGTTTCTCCCCTCCCACTGAAGTTCCAGTGTCTGCAGTTACAAAGTTTGCAACACACACATTTAACTTTGCAATGTTTTTGCACTTGTTTATTGTTGCTCCTCGTATACAGTTGTACTGACACTATGCAGCTATTGTGATTCCAGCGGTTATGACTGCGAATGATAGCGATTTTACTGTCTTTGTTGCAAACATGCACTGTTTTAAAAATGCTTTTAGGGTGTAGTCAAACTAGGTACAGTTGCCTTGAACTAGAGGCCTGCAATACATTTCTGAATAAAATGTGGTAGCAGTCAGTAAATCTGGTATAATTTGGTGGGCGGTCTAACAAAATAGCATTCCACAGAGAGAGAGAGAGAGAGAGCATGTGCATCCGCTGTGGTGCTGTGTGTGTGAATGAGAGAGTGAGCGTATATAGATTGTTATAGGCTGTCTGGACTGCGTCCAGCTGGGTGTTTTTTGGTAGGCAAATTTAATCGCTTTACATTTTTTCATGGCCCAATATGTACATGCTATGTGTATAGAAATAATGCTGATATGATAAACACAATGGGTAGTTGTATATGTTAAGTGGACGTTTATAAGTCTGATTTTAAAAGAGTCAGTGCCTTACCAGCCACATACTTCAACACATGCCGCTGTTTAAGGCAGCACTCATGTCTCATTACAAAGGGGCAAACAAACCTGACATTTAGCCTAAAATCCTTGCACAACATACAGTTTTATGTGTTATATTTTGGTAGCACCCAATTTAAAGACGAGATTTTGGAAACCAGATCTAAATTTAACAGGAACAGTCGGGAAAGTCGTAAAAAATCATTCTAAGCGGGCAGCGGGTGAACAAAGGTAAAATATACAGCGGGAGCAGTCGGGTGCGGAATAAAACCTAATGAGAGCGGGACTAATAATTCAGTCCTGCGCAGATCTCTATCCTGAACTATCCCGAAGCACAATTGTCCTCTCTCCCACAACGGCCTGCACTAACACTGCATTTTGTTTATGTCATCGATGGACATTGCTATAGTTATATAGTTTTAGTCAGTTGGGATGCAGTCAAACATTTTCCCAAACAGACCCTCAACTATTGACACGCATAAATGATCATAAAAGTCATCGTGCTGCACGTATTACGAGGTGTACTGAAGGTGCATCTGTTGTGCAGCAAGGGGTTTGCGTCTTTAATAAGCTACGACAGTTCACATTTATTTAAAAGTTAGAATGATTAATAAATCCAGATGATACAATTATGGAGACATAAAAGACGTTTCCTGATTTATTTGGCAGGTGTGAGTGCTTCAAATGGTGCCAAGGACCAGTTTAGTTGGCACCATTTGGAGCACTCACACTTGCCAAACAAACCAGGAAACGTGCCTGGGCATAGGTCGGATAGCATAGTGTGAGTGCACCCATGAACTGATTCTTGAGCTGCAGCTGATCACAGAGAGGTGGAACAGATCTTTTAATCCTAGTTTCTTTGCAAATCCTGTTCTGTAGACATGTTTATACGTGCCAACCAATCAACCCGGTAGGCAGGGTAAAACCATACTCCTACGTCACATTGCAATGGGCCTCAGTGGGATTTGGATCCTATTTTAACATTGGAAATTTTAATAAAGACACTTCTTGTCACTTAAATATGACAGAGGACACACGATACCTACAATCAGTTCTGTCCAAACGGCTTACAAAAGTTGATTTTGCATCATAGGTGCCCCCTTTAATATTTTTTTTATTTATTCAAAGCAATTAAATGAGTAAAGGATGAAAATGGTCAACATTTAATAGTCTATATATACAGTAATATGACTTTGTTAAAGTACTGTATATGAAGGTCTTACCATTTTGACACTTTTTGCCAATATAGGGCGGTGGACAGATGCATTTGAAGCCGCCGCTTTCTTTCTCCTTACAAACTCCATTGTTCTGGCAAGGGTTTGGATCACACGTCTCTACAGAACACAAACACGATCATCGTATGCTTGCAAGCAGCAAACACAACTTCAGTACATTCACAGAATTTCACAGTGTTTGTGTAAGTTCTTGCCTTCATCAAAGAAGGAAAAAAGCCAGTCAATCGTCTCGTTAATTTCAGCTGAAGATATTTCCTCCGTGTCACTAACAACATAGTCATATATTTCTGTCAGAGAAAAAATATTGTGAGCACGCTATATGGCAAGCCGTTCCAACATTTATTCTCCAAGATGAACTAGCACAAGTTTTGCAGGCACTAGTATCTTATCCATTCAGTACTGGTACTTGTTCATTATCGACTAGTAGTGCGTATTTATATAGTTGTTAGTTATAAGATATTGGATGCACATCAGTAGTTACCAGTAGCAAAATATTTATTTTTTCCATTGACTTCTATGGCGATCTCACTGACATAACTATTTAGTTTGGATTAGTATGTATTGTAGTTTTGACAGGAGCATATTTTTTTACATTAGTAATTATTATGTTTTTGATATCTATTATAACTATAATGTAGCTATTAATTAACTGGTTTACCAAAGTGCATACAGTAACAACCATGAAAATATAAACATTCAGACTTCTTACCATCGACAATGCCAATGAAGTCTTCCAAAAGACCCTGAAACAGTCGCCACACTTTCAGTCAGACAGAAATGCAATATAAACATGACATTTCCAAGCATTTTTACATTACATTCGATACATACCGGCGCTGCTTTAACATGTGAAGTGAGGCCAGACAGACCTAAAATAAGCAAAATGACTGGAAACATTATTCCTGGAGAAAAAGATGCCCAATCCACAACCATAAAAGACACTTGTGTTTTGTGTGGGTAGTAAATAAGCTGACCTGTAGGTGGATGATCTCTGGACTCCCATTTGTTTGATTATTTGACAGCAATCATTACCCAACCACATTGATTTGCTGTGTTCTGGACGGCGAGACGCATTACAGGTTTGTATAACTCTCAATTTAATGTTTAAAACGAATGTTACCCGGACATTTGTGGGATAAAGTGGAACAGATTTAAATGTGGACAATGCACTGAAATAAGAAATAAAATAACTCACAATGACAATTATTTTTAATGTGGTGAATTCGGGTCAACTGGGACACTTTTTTCCATTGACAAAATGCACTGCAGAAATAAAATAAGCTGAACTTCAAATTGCCAAAAATTCTTATTGGGATAAATTTAAGTCAACTGGGACACTTTTTGCAATTGAGATGACTGAGGCAACATTGACATTCATTGACCTGAATTCTCCCTAATAAAATACCCAATATCATTGATGATTTAATGTTTCATTCTTACTCATGCCTATATGATTTGATTCTTTGCCGTCTTTCGGATGAGACGTTAAACCGAGGTCCCGACTCTCTGTGGTCGTTAAAAATCCCAGGATGTCCTTCGAAAAGAGTAGGGGTTTAACCCCGGCATCCTGGCCAAATCTGCCCACTGGCCTTTGTCCATCATGGCCTCCTAACCATCCCCATATTCAATTGGCTGCATCACTGTCTCCTCTCCACCAATCAGCTGGTGTGTGGTGTGCGGTCTGGCGCAAAATGGCTGCCGTCGCGTCATCCAGGTGGATGCTGCACACTGGTGGTGGATGAAGAGATTCCCCCCACTGTGTAAAGCGATTTTAGTGCCCAGAAAAGCGCTATATAAATGTAAGGAATTATTATTATTATTATTATCTAAAAACATTCTGCAACGCTATTTTGTGCAGATTTGTACAGATATGCATTTTAAATGGTCTGTTTTTGAAGTGCAATGTTTACGTGTATGCAAGTTTTAATTATTGCACAGGAACTTTTAATTTTAGGTAAGCCAACAGAAGGGCTTTCTGTGAACTGTCATGCCATTATAAAAATGTTATAAGTTTCTTTAAAAATCACTGATTTTCACTGCCTGACTGAGATATGACATATGGGTCTTAGACCAGACAGGAAGCGCTGCATTAAATTCCATGTCTTTAAAACATTGACAAATATTTTATCACGGTATTTTCGATGGAATTTTAGTGTTTGCCTGATGCTGTTGACGCCGCTTGCATTTAAACAGCCTTTCATCTCACTTTACTCTTCAACAACTAAATGAATGCTTACCTCTATTTAACTGATTATATTTGGATTAAATTAAATTAGCGATGCTGGAAAAAGAAACACTGTGAAACTAGAAATAGTCACATGAACCATTCACCGCCTAAAAAACATGTGCTGTGCATATAGCCCATCTCGGGCCAGGAGGGTTGGTGTCCCTGCAGGGTTTAGCTCCAACTTGTCTCAACACACCTGCCTGAATGTTTCAAGTACACCTAGTAAGACCTTGATTAGCTTGCTCAGGTGTGTTTGATTAGGGTTGGAGCTAAAATCTGCAGGACACCGGCCCTCCAGGAACAAGTTTGGTGATCCCTGGTAAAGCCCATTACTCCGTGCAAGTTATCCATTGAAAAAATGTTTGTTTTGTAATCTCTAATCAAATACCATGTGTTTCCGTATTTGAAGTGGTGGCCTGTTCAAAAACTGTAATAAAATCCTGGTTGCCAAAAATTTTTAAGCTGATTCAAATTAACTTCATGAGTCCATTAAACTTATGTTTCGTTAAACTGACTTAAAATAGCTTGAATTAAGTTAGAGCACGATTAACTTAGTTTAATAAGTTACAATGACCTAAAAACATGTGCTGTCAGGACTAATTAATCATATCATTTTTTACAGTGTAGGCATTATAACAGAAAGCTTTCTATAATAATGTCTATGCTTCTGTTGACATTATTTTGGCTTCAGCCACAATATTAGTTATGCATTTCATGACTGTTTTTGATGCATTTAGTAGCTTTTTAGGGCTAAATAATTTAATACATTTCATTTTTCTGGTGACAGTAAATAACCATAATGTCGGACACTTTAATTGTGCCAATATGATGACATTACTATTTTGTTGACACATTTGCTACCCTAAATGTATATTATTATGTTTTTCGATACTGAAAATGTGGGCAGCGCGGCGGCATAGTGGTTAGCGATGTTGCCTCACAGCAAGAAGGTTGCTGGTTCGAGTCCCGGCTGGGCCAGTTGGCACTTCTGTGTGCAGTGTGCATGTTCTCCCCATGTTCGCATGGGTTTCCTCTGGGTGCCCTGGTTTCCCTCACAAGTCCAAAGACACGGGCTAGGTGAATTGGGTAAGCTAATTTGTCCATAATGTATGTGTGTGAATGAGAGTGTATGGGTGTTTCCTAGTGATGGGTTGCAGCAGGAAAGGCAACATATGCTGGATAGGTTGGTGGCTCATTGCACTGTGTTAATAAAGGGACTAAGATGAGTAGAAAATTAATGAATAAATGATAATGGAAACGTAGAACATTTTAAACTTTAATAATGTGAATGTAATGACAATATTACTATTTACATCATCTCAATGTTCATTTTGCCACTAACAACCTGCTGTTCTTAATGTAACAGTAATGCAAAGTCACTGAACAAGCGTGACAGTTCAGCTAAAAATTAAAGACGGCATCTGAAAGTACCGTTTGGATATATTTTTGTGTGTAAATATATGTTTTTGAACAATGTTGATGACATGTCTATTGAGAAGTCAATATTTTAGTAAGCAAACTTTCACTTAGTTATCACCAAAGCTCTTTCTGTTTTGTTGTACATGATTAAGACCACTGCCAAGTTTTCGAACGCAGCCACTATGTTAAAATCCTCCTATGACTCAAACTTTTCCAAACCAGTCATTGTGTTTTCTGTTGAATTATTAAAATGCACAAAAACACACAAACAAGTGTTTTCAACTGATTTTATTTCAAAGAGAAGCAATGGATCAGTTGACAGTGGAGTGCAGATGTTCATTCTCAGTATATACAGCACAAGAGATAAATATTCAGAGATCATCTGCTGGTATTCTGAACTCACGCACAGCTGCTCACAACATCTTGGTATTAAACTGTAAATGTATTCAAGTGCAAGTGGCAAACATAATGCTATTAAAAAAGTAAAAAAAAACAAACACTGTACCTTAAAAAAACAAAAGTGTCTCTTGCATTTCATTCATATTTTCAGGAATATGATATGCTCATCAGTGGTTATATTGTTCGAGGGATAATTCAGCCAAAAATGTAAACATCTCACCATGTATTTAACCTCAAATGGTTCCAAAACTTTTACGAGTTTCCTTTTTTCTGTTGAACACAAAAGAATATATTTTAGAAATTTGTATAGCCTTTGACTTCCATAATAAGAAAATGGCTACTTCAAAATATCTTTCTTTGTGTTAAAACAAATGACTATAGAAGTCAGTAGCTACCGGTTTCCAACATTCTTCAAAATATCTTCTATTAGAGTTAAACACGGAACATGCCAGATTGAATAGTGCCAGACTACAGAAGTACAATTAAGTACAATTGATTTCATAAAAAGTAATGAGTCAATGGCTACCAGTTTCCAGCATTCTTCAAAATATCTTCTAAAAAGAGTTCAACAGCAAGAGCAAGAAAAAATTGGAAGAATAAATAATTTAATGAGTGTACACAATTATTTTCTCAATTTTATGTTTTCATTTACTGTGCTGTTTACCTCTGGAATATGTCAGATGAAAAAATAAAATTCAGAATAGTAAATTCATGAAAGTAACAAGTCAACAGCTACTATTTTCCAACCTTCTTCTAAATATCTTCTTTTAAGAGTTCAACAGAAAAGTAAATTTTGAAAGAAAAAAAGGGTTTGGATCAAGCATAAGATGATCAAATTTCATTTTAGCAGAAGTTTGTTCTTAAATTGTATGATTCATTTAGAATAAATTATTTTAAATAAATTAACGCGTATACAAAATTATTTTCCTAATGTTACGTTTTCATTTGCTTTTGTACTTTTATAAGAGTAACAAGTCAATGGCTACCATTTTCCAACATTTTTCTAAATTCTTCTATTAGAGTTCAACAGAAAAATAAACTTTTATAAATAAAAAAAAGGTTGAAACAAGTAGAAGATGATCAAATTTCATTTTAGCAGAATTGTTGTAATTAAATTGTAAGATTCATTTAGAATTAATTACTGATTTAAATAATTTGATGTGTACACAAAATTATTTTCCCAATGTTATGTTTTCATTTACTGTACTCTTTCAGTCCCTCTGGAATAGGTCAGATTATGAAAATAAATGCCTTAAAAGTAATTCATTTCATACAAATAATAAGTGAATGGCTACCATTTTCCAACATTCCTCAAAATATCTTTCATTTGAGTTCAACAGAAAAAAATGTAAATTAATTATTTAGAATAACCTAATTTGTGTACAAAATAATTTTCCCAATGTTATGCTTTCCTTTACTGTACTGTTGACCTCTGGAATATGTCAGATTATGGAAATAAAAGGCTTAAAAGTAATTAATTTTATAAAAGTAATAAGTCAATGGCTACAACATTCTTCAAAATATCTTCTATTAAGAGTCCAACAGAAAAAAAAAAAAAAAAACTTGTGGAAGAAAAAAGGTTTGGAACAAGCATGACATGACATGAAAACTTTCATTTTTAGCTGAATTATCCCTTCAACATCAGGAAGCCTCAAAATGGCGTAAATGCAAACACTTTAAATAAAGGGTTTTGTTCGCATTCAATAATACCCAACAGACTTGTTTTTCACTCTCGGTGCAACTAAGATTGTCAAATGAAGGGAGGAAACATCTCAAAAGCACAACAAACACTCTCAAACAATTCTCACTGGCACACAAACACTCATTCACTCAGTTGTACTGGATTATCAATCCCATCATCCACCATCCAGCGTGAAGTCCTCCACTCCTACACATCTATGCTCTACACAGAGCATTAAGCGCTAACACTATAAATGGACTATAAATGGAGACCATCGAATCCAACACCTCATTGCCTCTCAATCCAAACGATCTATTTTTTCACTCTATTACTTCATTTTCAACATGCACCATCCTCTGTATCCACTAGGAAGCGCTGTGGAGTTACATTCATTGAGTGAACATGTCAACATGGAGGGTATTTTTTTTAGCATTTCACCACATCAGTGCATCTCTCTGCTATAGTTAAGGCACAAGAATGTCCTTTTGTAGTGTGTTTGGAGTTGGCCTGTAGGGTTTGGGGTAGTTTTGTGGGAGACAGTGGCTCATGTGTACTCAGATTTGCGGATGTAGTTTGACGGGACGTACCCCCTCCGTCCTCCTGCTTCACCCAGCCACCACTCCTGGTTGCCATTCATGTCCTGGAACTCAAGGATTCGCACCCGCTGATTGGCTGAAATGCTGAGCTCATTTGCACAGCGTGCGCTGAAGGAGTAAAGAGCGTAGTATATCTGGGGGAAAATGGAGTAGAAAAATTAAAATTAAAAGTTAAATTCTTGAAATGAATCAATTTAGATGTTAGTAAAACGTGTTCAGTTGTTTTTTTTACACTTTGAATGCTTTTATAAATGCTTTGTGGATTATTTAAAAATAATTGCTTAGTATTTGATTAATTGAATAATAATTTTGAAATGTTTATTTATTGTTAAATTGGTGGTCCACTACGATATCATATTTTAAACTTTAGTAGAGCTGTAATGAAGCTGTGTGAACATAAACAACATCTCTGAATGTAATACACTTAAAGTTCAATGCAAAGAGAGACATTGGCTTTTACAGAGTTAGCTTGGCAAAGCCTACACCGAATGAAGTTTGTGGACTACAAAAAAATACATCCGGGTTATGCCTAGTTCAGACTGCGTGATTTTAGCCCCGATTTTGGCTCGCCGACAGGTTTTGAGAAATCGCCGACAAATGCCTGAAATCACAGGCAAATCGCTGCTCGTGCACGTGAGTGACAATCACACAGTATGAACGATCAGAGACGCGATCTGAGAGAATCGCCGATGAGTCGCCGATGCCTGTGAGATATTTGGCGTGCTAAATATCTGGAGCTGTCGGCGATTCAAATCATGCCGTGTGAATTGAGTTTTAACTGAAAATAACATCAGCCATCGCCTACAGCCAATGAGAGAGCAGCTTTCACTTGTGTGTGCGTGTGTGTATACCTGCTGCAGGCCAGCGGGAGGCTGGGGGAGAAGTTAAAAGCGCTCTTATTTGGTTTATTTGGACCCACGAAATGGAGGAAAACTAGGGGAGGTTTGACAGGACTCACGAGCAACCTTTCTCCCTATAGTAAAGTCATGCAATGTGAATGTCCATGTCGCCAAACCATCTTGCAGTGTAAACAAAGCAGCGACGAAACGCTAGCCCAGATAGTCATGCAGTGTGAAAACATCTGTGACACGACTAGTTTGAAAATCATGCAGTCTGAACTCGGCATTAGTGAGATCACAAACGCTTCAGGTTACGCACATCTACCATGCACATACACACTGCGCTGTGAAGGGGCGTGGCCAGAGGCGCTGTAATGTTATAGTTGAGAAAGCTAAAATGTCGCTTTTCACAGAGCTCATGCTGTTTCTGTATTTAAACTTCCAAAGGACACAACACAAAGAGAGAAGTGCTTACAATTTAATTAATTATGAATTGAATTATTTTAAAAAAATTATATAGTTAACATTTGACAAAGAAGAACTTCCATAATCTCTTTTAGTTCAGTGCTGGATTAGAGTATAACTCCTCAAAGGAGCAGCTCCAACAATAATAGAAGAAGCTGTGGATTGTGAGCCACAACTTGTATGTGATTTAATTAGTTAAAAATCGATCTATTACATGCATAGGGTCTAGCATTAACAGTATGTTGTAGCGAGGACGTAAACAAGGATGTAAACAACAGGAAATGTTGTTTGGCACCATCAACAATTTAGCTACAAATTCATAATTATCTTTCAAATCGCTGTAAACACCCACAATTTTCAGCAGCACTGCCGTGTCTTACTATGCGGCTGCTTTTCCTGTATCTCAAATAACAAATTCGCAAAAATATCTGAACGTTTCATGACCTACACATGCTTATATCCCGAATATATATGAAAGACACTTGTCAGATTATATTTTAGAATGCAGGCGTGAGGTTCAGCTGTGTCCTCTTCACTTTATGTTTAATTCAGGCTCACGCTGACATGACTACACTGACTGACAGTATTTACACAGCAGAGGCACTGTACATGCTAGTGACTGGCTGTGATGCTTTCTGGTGACGTGGAGCCGATCCACAAATCACAGCACATTATGCTAACTGACCAATCAGAGCCTCCTAAGGGCAGGCCTTTTGGAGGAACTTGGAAATATGACAGCCGTTTTCATGTTGGCCTAGTAGCAATATATAATCAAAGTAAGATATATGAAAAAATAACGTGATTTTCAACATATGAAGCATGAGCACACATTGCTTGTCATCTTATAAACACAACCAAGCCTCAAAAATACGCTCTAGACCACCTATTTAATGAACGTCAAATCTGAGAAACCTCAGAAGGTTAATATAAGGTTAATATAATAGAGACAATTAGTAGTAATCAGTACTTGATTTATAAATTGTGAGGTCCCGGAACCCCCTCCGTTGGGGGTTTGTGGCAAAGCATTGGATGACGGTGGGGTGTTGCGGACAAAAGTGAAGAGGCTTGGGGAGTCGTGAAAAAAGTGAAAGCGAACAGCGGATGGGAAGGAGGGCAATTGAGGAGGGGGATCGGTAAAATGAGGTGCTGGATCTGGATTCGGCATTTTCCGGCAAAAATTAAGCCCTGGTAGTAATGCTGCTAATGCGGTTTCATTATTTGAATGAATAATTACACGTTTTTCTAATTATATTGAATTATTTTAAACGGATTATTTTTTACCACATATTTCTAGAAACTGAGAATTAAATTTTTTAAACTATTTAAAATGACTTTCATTTAAAATATTAATTACAATTATACATTTCACAAACACAACTGAAAAAGCAGAGCTATTAAGTAATATATTTGAAATACTCTATTACAAATTAAATTATAATATAACAAATGGCTTCTTTTTAAATAATACATATACCTCAGCATATAAGTACACCCCTTACAAATATATATTTTAAATTTGATATTTTCTGTAGGATGCTAAACAATATTATATCTGTGCATACGCACTAAATTAGTCAGTACAGAGCTGAATCTGTAACTTATCTAACAAAATATCTTACGATAAAGGTCCAAAAATAAATACACGCAAATATATGTGTTCGAGAAATTGTTAAATAAAAATATTAAAAAAAATAAGCACTGTATAAAATAATTATATAAGTATAAAACTATAAATAATTCATTATTAAAAATAACTATTCATTGTTTCAAAACATTTATCTACTTTGTGTTTAAAATAGCTTGCCAACATAATATTTTCATTTATTTACACTATTACTTTCCTGTGGATTATGTCAGGTTACAGAAGTCTTATTTATTTCAATTTAAAAAGTGGTGTATCAAGTGTTGTAAAACATACCTGGTGTCCATCAATCTCCGGCTCTGGCTCCGGCTCGATGTACTCCTCAGGAGTGTATTGTGGCCTTCTCTGCTGACCTGAATAGTCTCCATTCTGTCGCTGATGTGAGCCGTAGGAAGCCTTTGAATCCTGATATCTAGATGATGGTTCATATCTTGAGTTCCTTGAAGAAGAAGAATCTGTCTCCGATAAATCTAACCGATCTCTCGAATTGGTTGGAGTGTTTTGATCAGAGTCTACAGAGTCTCTATGATTGGTGGAACTTCGATGTGAGGGCTCTGAATATTCCCTGCTGTTTCGAATGGCAGTTTCTGACACTTCTTTGTGATTGGGTGAGTTTCTGAAGCCGGGTTCAAGGGAATCCCTCTGATTGGACGAAGTCTCTCTGATTTTCCTCGGAGTGCTCTCATTATTTGGCCGAGTGTTTGATTGGTTTTGTGTCGTGGCTGTTGTGAAGCTGACAGTAGACGTCTCCTGGTTGAAAGTCAGTGTGCTGTTACTGTTCTGCCGTGAAAACATGGGTGAGGAGCCGCCGTAGCCGGATTCATTTGATGACTGGCTCTCAATGGAGACGTCTGACTGACTCCTTCGGGGATTGTAGGGCTTTAAGAAAGAGCTGTAGACAAATCCCTTCGTAACTAAAAGAAAGAAAAACAAATATAAATACACAGATTATATAACGCTTTCCTTAAGATTTAACAACTTATCAGCAACAGTATTTATATTCATGGCAAAAATGTTTCACTCAATTAACTTTCTATTTTCACTCAATTTGCCTGTTGATTGATTTTTTATTTTATTTTATTTGAATATTTGACCTATTATCTCCACCAACCTTAGTTTTTTATTTTGTTTTAAATTTTTACTAATATTTTTTCTTAGTTAATTTATTTAACATTACTATATTATTTATCTTCTTTTGTTCTCATTGTTGCTACATATTAAAAACAAAAAGTCTCTTACTTTGTCATTTCAAGTATTGTTTTTATGTATTTTACACTCAATAAAAAAAGTGACATTTGCTATTCACAATTTGTGTCTTAAAAATAGTGAGCACATTTAATATACATATTGTAAGAAATGAGTCTGCCTCGACCCAACTTCCACTCTAAATGGTGAATTGATGCTCATTTCCCAAAAGGGCTGACTTATGAGAGAAAAGAGAAGTCAACAAGGTCTTGTCTCTGCATTGTTTGAGGTGACTACATCTCAACCAAATGGTAAAAATTGTAGAATGGGGATGGGTGTGGTGCACAAAGAACCATCTCATCAATGGTGTTGAAACTGCATTAACATGGAGAGATAGGGAGAACAGCTGGGTCAACAGCCAAGGAGCAACTTCATTAACATCTAAAGGCAACATCAAAAACAGTATAAAGGTTTGAGTTTAAGAATGTTCAGGGTTCATTCTGACTCCGGTGAACCCAAGGTACTGCCATGTATTTTGAGACTGCTATGCTGAATAAACATCTTCATTGAGATTTTCTTCGTCATCATCATTTTTTCTTACAATATTAAACATTTTAATATTACTTCAAGAGAAACCTTTCCAGAAATGTCCATTGATATATTTCATTCATTCATTTTCTTTTTGGCTTGGTGTCATTATTAATCTGGGGTCACCACAATGGATTGAACTTATCCAGCATATGTTTTACACAGCGGATGCCCTTCCAGCTGAAACAAACACTGGGAAACACTACAGACTTTCACTACAGACAATTTAGCTTACCAAATTCTCCTATATAGTGCATGTCTTTGGACTTGAGGGGCAATCTAAAGCACCCGGAGGAAACCCACTCCACACAGAAATACCCAACTGACCAAGCTGAGGCTCGAACCAGTGACCTTATTGCTTTAAAGTGATAGCGCTACCCACAGTGCCACCCCCTTTAATATATTTTTTTGAATAAAAACATCATCATTTAAAAGAGGGCATTTACCACTCAAGTTTATCATAAACTTTTAAAAATTGTTTTTCCTTCCAGAAATTGTTCAATAATAAAAGTATTATGCAATTGGTCATCTGTTGTCAAAGTAATAACAGTCTCACAAAAGATTTATTAGTAAATTCACTTAGTATTATTTATGTAAACATTCATACCAATCACCATTTGTTAAAAATGTACTGTTAAATTAACTGTTTAAATGTTAAAATATGGGTATAGCATTGTCTAAAAATGTATTTAAACATGTCTAAAAACAAGGAAAAGCATACAAATAAGCCAAACATAGGATAATAATAGCAATACAAACCTCCGTTGTCTATTAACCACCGGTTTTGACTGCCCATGGGGTCTTGCTGCTTGATGACACCCACAATGTCACCTTCCAGAACTGATACATCTAGGTCCTGTGCTGCGTTAAAATTTCTTTCGGCCTGGTAGAGATTCTCTGGGCCATATCTCACCAGAAGCCCTGCTCGGTGCTCATCTGTCTGGAGCACATAGTTTGGCTGCAAAGTCAGAAGAAAGGAAGTGAATAATTGACAGAATTCTGCCTCAAGTAATGTCTTGCTTTATATTGGTTGACTGTTTTGCTGAACAAAATTAGTTTAAACCCTATAGTGCTATGTACATTTTCAAAAAATTCGATATCACTGCTTAGTCCTATTTAAAGTTTCTTCAATTTTAAGCAGTTTTGGTGTGCTTCATGGGTAATTAAATTTTCAAAGAATAACTACATGTTTTAACACAGAAATACAAGATAAAAACATTTACATTTGGTTACATTTAAAACATTAACATTTTAACATTCATTAATAAATGAGAAACTCCTGGTCAGATACTAATTAGTGTTTGTTGAAAAATATTAATTTTAAAGTTATTTTATAGCATAAAATCCCTTAAATCAATACAAACACAGAATGTGAATCGTATAATAGATACTAAATGGATTATCAGGACTATAGCAGTCTAACAATCTGCATTGTGTAAAAAAAACACTACCAAAGCTGGCAAACCAGACAACCATGATCGGATAATCTAGCTTTAATCTTGAACATTTAAGATTAAAGAAAGAGATTTAAAACTAATAAACTTTATTGGTAAGAAGCAGTGATACCTGAGCATTATTTATAAACCATTCTATTTCAAATTAACTTACTTTAATTAATTGGTTACATTTTATATCAAGTCTTTGATACGGTGTTAGGTATTACAAACAGTATGCCATAGAGTGTTTTTACCATAAAGCATTGGTAATCAAAAACATGTACTTTACATTTTAGAGTTAGGCATTAGTTTAGCCTAAAATTAGTTAACTTAATTTTTATTTTAGCCTTATTAATTTAAAAACATTAACTTGATTTGCTTCATTTAAATGCAAAGGTAACATTTATTCTATTTATATTGTATTTTTTTTAAGCATCATTTTGAAGAATAAAACCATTTGAACTGGTTTAGGTTAACAATAACACTGCTGAGAATAACAGTCTGATTTGGATCAGGGTAATTTAGGGAAACTCACAGGTGCTTGGGGCTTCTTGGTGTACTGTTTCTCCAGAGTCTTCTTCTCGAAAGTCTTGCGTACAGTAGTAGGAAGGTTTTCAGGGAAGAAACTAAAGCTCTGAAGTAAATCCAGCACTCGCGTGTGCTCCTCTTGGAACAAGGACACCAGATTTCCTTCAGTACCTCCCAAGCCAGACAGCTATAGAGACATAAACACAAAACATTGACTTAGGAACAAAGTAAACATTACAGTGTAATCATTCGCTTGAGAAGATGATGTATGAGAAACTGAATCTATTCATTTGGATTGAGAAACCACTGCCATTAGATATTTATGAGCACTGCTTAATTATATCACACATTAACTGTATGCAAGTTTTTGACTTTTCTGAATCATAAAAATACACTGTTTGCAAATATTTAAGAAACATGCTGAGTGAACATACTTGCTAAAGAACATATATGCTAAAGTCAATTTTTCTTCTTTTAAAAATGTGCATTCTGTTTTTGGAATGTCTATCTTTGTTTTGGTCAATGTAACTCCACTTTTTATTTTGGCATCACATGTTGGTGAAAAGCAGGGTATTACAATTCTGATCTTAATTCAAATCTGGCAACATTGGTGAATCTGACAAAACTGATTCACTGTCTGACTGCCTGAGATCAAGCATGCATATAATCATTACAATACAGTAATCCAGCACACTCTGACACATTATATTAGCATAATTTGTTGTTGACTTTTGGGATATGCAAGTTTGGACCCAAAAACTGTCCCAGGTGACATCAGACTTATGAATTGGTGTTTTTACCTGCAGCAGCGGTGTGAGCTCTCCCAGTGTGAGTGAAATGAAATCTCGCTGGGCTTGGACGAAACCCCTGACGCAGCTGGTGAACAGATCTTCAGCCGCGCGGTGGAACTTGGGCAGCTCGTCCAGCAGCTGGGCGTTCAGAGCTTCATAGTTATTCCTGGCCGTCTGCAGCTCCTCCTGCACACGCTTGTCCTTTAGCCTTTCGGCACGCTCCTTACAGTTGTCGTAGTCCAGAAGCTTGTCTCTACGTTTCTGGATCAGTTTGTGGGGACCGGTGAACATGTTGAGCAGCTGGGTTAAGGGAGTGATGACTAGGGCTTCTGTCCTCTCCTTCTGTTCCGAGATAGACAGACATACATGCATCTCATTTAGAAGAGTTGAGAAAGTTCATGCTTATAACATGATATAAAACATGTTTCAATTAAATCAGAAAGCTCCAAAAAACAACAACTAAAGCCCCAAGTATACTTGGTATGTGTGTATATACATATATACACACTGTCAAGCCTGAAATGACTGGCAAGTTTTTTTTTGGACCGGATATGACACAGGCTTCTTTGAAGATCTTATCTTATCAAAAGATAATAAGATGAAGTACAAGAAGCATCACTGTGAAAAAAATATATATTTTCAGCTTTTATTCACATTTGAACAATAACTTTAAGTCAGAATTTGCCAGGGGTATGAATAATTTCTGCTTACATACAGTATATACACAGTACATATATTATATGCACTAGGGTTGGGCATCTAAGCTATAATGCCAATCCGATATGCATCTCGATACAAAGAATACGATCCGATATATTAGCGATACATTTGTGACATATTGCGATGCGACACAATACGATTTACACCCATATCACGATACAATGCGATAATTCAGCACTAACTTATTAGATCAAGTTTATGAGATGATGTAAGAAAGGATGCTGTGCCATTGAATGAGTTTGATTATTTATTAACCAAGCAAAACCAAGACTTTTTTTACAAACTTTTCTCTCAGAGCCAGAGTGTAAGTTTACAGTAGAGGGCCATTTTAGAACATATAGCACATATTATTTAAGTATTTTCAAGATAAACAGAATATATAAGTGTAATATATATTATAAATGTATATATTTGCACTCTTTCAACAAAGGATTACCATTGCACAACAAGAATTGTGATTTAACTTTTCCACTATGAAAACAAGTTTTACAAAGATATTTTGCCACTGAATATTCAAAACTTAAGGTCGTGAACTAGCAGTGTTATGTTGCTTTGAAACATCACTATCACTGTAAACAACAGGCTAATAAAAATATAATTAACTACAAATTAACAGGAGGTGTTTAAAACCTTCGTTCTCCGTGACACTAGGCTGAATATCTTTGCAGATGAACAATGCAATAACGTCCGTTATTGGCGTAGAGCAAGCAGAACTGTTGCGCATGGAAAAAAACTTGCAATGCTTTTCTCACCACTTTTGGAGCTGGTTGAAGCAGTGCGAAAGCCGGGGATGCAGAAACACTGGAAGATGCTTCCAAAACAACACCGAGGCGCCGCTTCAAGTGAGATTTCAGATTAGTCGTACTGCCCGTGTATTTTACAGATGCCCCGCACATTTTGCAAATTGCATCTGTCCTGTCAAGTCGTCCATCCTTAAATCCATAATGTTGCCATACTTTAGATTTAAAACTCAGTGGGGAATAAAATGTTTGTTTTGCTTCTCGCGCTTTCTGAGGGCGCTCCACTAGCTTCATCCGCACACCTGATACGCTGAGTTGTAGTGTAAGTGTACACATCCGCAAGTCCGTTGCTAATGCATACTTTATGTAGGTCGATTAAATTATGCGCCAAAAACAGGTTGACAACACTTGTTAATAAATAAAAAAATACATTCTAGATTAAAAATATAAGTTGTATGTTGGAAAAACCGATGCATCTCGCAAAAACCGATGCATCTCAATTTGCTTCCAAAATTTCATTCATCCTCTGCTGCTCTACCGATGCACTCGCATCGTGCACGCGCATGACCGCGTATCGATACATATCGGTAAATCTTCCCATCCCTAATATGCACTTTATATCTACAGTATATGAATAGTATATATACGGCCCTTCATTGTATTTCAACCAGTTTGTTGTTTGAAAAAAAAAAAAAAATAAACATTTTTCTGTTAAGTACTAGTCATGTTAATAATGACTAACTAATTTACTAAGAATCACTGGTTAAGTGTTGTCAGTTTTTCATAATTAAGGAAAGGCACTGCAGGGTATATCAACCAGTTTTTACCTTACTATCCTAGTTGGCTGATTACATACAGAACTGCAAACATTTACTGTTTTACACGTTTTCTTAAATGTTATGTTTGAATATGCAAATGAGGCACTATTTAATTAAATATGTATATATTTTTAGCAGAGAAAATGAATATTGGATGAAGCTGGATTTTGAAGAGGGGATTTATTTTTATAACTCCATATCACCCCAAAATTGCTGCAATCAGTCAGGAAAAAATAAATGAATAAATAAATTTGTATATATTCATATTATGTATATTATGTATGAACATATGTCTCTGTTAAAACATTCATAATATAGGCTGTAGTCACACTAGACTATCTGAACCGTGCCCACGCGCATTTGACCACCATTTAACGGCTTGTAATGAGTGCAAAGTGCGCCTGAGTTTCAAAAATTAAAGATGCAAAGTTACTTTTAAGGCACTGTTGCATATGGATTTATTAATTATTCTTACTTTTCAATGAACGTGAACTGTCATAGTTTATTAAAGATGCAAACCCTTTGCTGCACGTCAGCTGCACCTTCAGAAACTTCGAATACATGCAGCACAATGACTTTATGAAAGTTTATAAGCTTTAAAATTGGTGAATATGTTCAGCAAAAAATATGACTGTATCCCAAGTGACTTAAAATAATACAAAACAAAAAAACTAAAGCAATCTCCACTCTACTGAGTAAGAGTGCTTCTCTTTCTTACTAAACAGTCACATCATCAATGACGTAAACATGCTCAGGCGTAGAAGGTAAAGTTAAGTGCAGGCCGTAGGGAAAGAAGAGAGGGGGGACAGCCGCACCCTGGCACAGTTTAATGCAAGCATGCTTAGTGTGAGTAAAGCCATAGATTATGAATAAAAGTGTAACTTTTGGTCTATGTAAGTGTGGCTAAAGTGGAGTTTTATGGCTCAGTGAGGAGAAGAGAAAATAAATAAATTTGAGAAAACATGTATACTATCTAAAATCTATAAACTGAAAACAACACTTTATGAAAAGCCCAAAAGCCACAAAATTCTAAATTGAGAGTGCATTAAATATGAACAGTTTATTTGCCCTAAAAGTAATGTTAAGTGATTATTTTACTTACAAACTCTGTGAACTGTTTGTCGCTGATGCATCGATGTGCTCTCTGGAATCGCTCTGGGTCCATTTGCTGTTGCCGTTCTGTGTAGATGTCACAGAAACTAATGGCGGCCAAGACCTTTACTGAGGCTGACTCCTATTAGACATAAAAGGTCAGGCCAAATTACTTCATTTAATGAATCACAAGGTAATATTTCATCACAAAAAAGAAAGAAAGATTTCGCAAATAACATGTGCATTGAATCATTAGAATACCCTTATATGCTGCAGATAGAGGGAAATGTTCCTGATAAACGATTTAATAAGTCTCTCCTGGAGTCTGAATCTTTTCTCAGCATCATCAAAAGCTTCATCTTTGATCTGAGAAGGAATGAAGTTTGGTTGACAACAAGTCTCAATTGAATGTCTCAGTGCATTAAGGATGGGGTTTTAATAACATTGTACCTGAGGCGAGATCCCAGTCAGGTGCTTCAAATGGCTGCTCACTCTGTTTGACTTCTTGATGATGGAGTGCATGCTAAGCTTTGAGATCTTGTCGATTAGCCTGTCTTCATCGCCCTTGCGGTACTTCACCACTGTAAACAACAGAGGGAGCTGTTATCACACAGCCAATGAAAACAGATATCATATTCCAAAACAACAGAATGATAGACAGAACGACAGGCATATAGCTAGATGGATGGATGGAACCGGTTCTAGTGTCTTTACACTGGCAAAGATCCTTTAGTTAGTCAGTCCTCCTCAAGATCCTTGGCAGATCATCATGCTATAGGTTCCAACAAATTTAGAGGTGATCCAGTATTCTCAGTTATGACCCATAGATTGTCGTACTTTCTGTGTTCTTTGACTTTTTTGCTGATGTTTAAATCACATCTTAAGATGCATTTGTGCACACAGGCATTTGATGTATAGTTTTTATGGATATTATGGTTTATATACTTTAATTTAATGCTATTTGTGATTGTAACTTTCTTGTACAGCACTTTGGTGTGCCTTCATATTTTTAGGTGCTTTATACATAAACGATTGATTGACTGTGATAAATAGAACCAAAACATTAGAACGAGGGCAAGGGCTCAGTGGTTAGCACTGACAGCCTTGCAGCAAGAAGGTCGCTGGTTCAAGTCCTGGCTGGGTGAGTTGGCATTTCTGTGTGGAGTTTGCATGTTCTCCCCGTGTTGGTTTCCTCCAGGTGTTCTGGTTTCCCCTACAGTCCAAAGACATATGCTATAGGTGAATTGAATAAACTAAATTGGCCGTAGTGTACATGTGTGAATGAGTGTGTATGGATGTTTTCCACTACTGGGTTGCAGCTGGAAGGGCATGTGCTGTGTAAAACATATGCTGGATAAGTTGGCGGTTCATTCCGTTGTGGCAACGTCTGATAAAGGGACTAAGCCAAAGGAAAATAAATGAATGAACAGAGCGATAAATGTATAGAAAAAGAAGTTTTCCGATGGTCTCCATTAATGTTTGATGGAGATATAATGAAGTGGCTTTATAAATGACAGAATAAATAATATGCTTGCAAAAAATGCAAAACAATTTTGTTAAAAATTACAAATAAATATTTGACTACAAAAAAATTATGTTTTTAAAACACTGCATTCTTGAATTGTCTATTGAATTCTCTATTGCATTTCCTAACTAACCATTTTATGAAATATCTATACAGACCAGCCCAAAGAGGCTCCTTTAGGATAGAAATGGATAAAACAATGGGATTTAAACATCACGTGTAAACGGCAATGTGTCTACCTTGTCTACTTGTGATCCAATTAACCAAAATGCATCTTAAAGGCATAGTTCACCCAAAAGTGAAAATTCATTTACTCACCATTTACCTTAAACCTTTATGAGTTGCATTCTTCACACAAAATAATATACTTTGAAGAATGTTGGAAAGCTGCAACCACTGACTACCACACTATTTGTTTTTCCTACTATGGAAGCCAATAATTAAAGGTTTTCAGCCTTCTTTAAAGTATCTTCTTTTATGTTCAACAAAAGAAAGAAACTCATAAAGGGTTGGAACCACTTGAGTGTGAGTAAATAGTGAGTAAATGTGAATTTGTTTTGGTGAACCATTCCTTTAATACCAGGTTTAAATAAGGCCATAGACAGAAAGAACTGCAGAGTGGTTGAAGAATGGCAGACGGATACAAAGATAGATACATAAACATATAAAACGCTATACCCAGATCCTTCCTCCGCTTGTATTCATTGATGTTGACGTTGATCTCTTTAATAGACATGACTGCCTCAGAGAGCTGCTGTCTGTCGTGGTGTGATTCAGGAGTGGTGTTCAGCAGCTCCATCAGAAGGAGAGGATAACGCATCACTCTCTGCACCGGCTTTATCAAGAACGAACCCAGATTAATGTAGTTCGTCTTTCCCCTGTGATACGACAAAATGAGTAGATAAAGTCAAAACAAGATGTAAAATAATCTTCATCCTGCTCTGACTGAAAGGCACACGTTGTTTTCATCCATCATTGATACACTGTCAGGCTCTTTAAAAAGGGTTACAGTATACACAAAAGGCAACTAGAACATTCTAACAAAAAGAGCACACTTTCTAAATGATGGGATGAAAACACGTGAGATCCAAATGCAGCTAAAGAGTGATTTGGATGTTACGGAAACACACACACATATGTATATATATGTATATATATTTTAAACAGTATTAAACATCATGAATAGCATGTTTAAATTACATAGATTTGCTCTGTGACAAATAGAACCACTGTTTTGTTGGTTTAATTGCTTTTTAAGTACCAGACCCTGAGCTCAGAGATTGTTAATAATGCTTTCACATGCCATTATTAAAGCATATTAAACCATTTTCCCACTGGGGTCATATTCTGACTCACAAATTGCATCTAATTTGAGGGGCTGGAAAAAAGTATACCAACTCAAATAATGAACCATACAAGCTGCACATTTTAAAACATCACAGAAAATTTGATTGTAAAAAATTTGATTGAATTACATATTAAGTGATTAGAAATTAAAATATGTGTAAAACCAAGTGGTGTGTCTGTGTGGTATGTAAATGACATATAAAAATGTGCAATATAAAAAGTATATATTTTTTTCTACAATCATTTAAAAACAGGACACATTCTTAATAGAAAACTACACAACTGCAATATTAATATTGAATTTATGCTTGAAACACTATTTCCAACAAAAAAGTTTGTTTTTTAATTACATTTAAGTGGTACAAGATTTATTCAGAAGTTTTAAAGGGATAGGTCACCCAAAAATGATGATTCTGTCATTAATTACGCATCATATACTTGTTCCAAACTAGTTTTCTGTTGAACACAAAGGAAGACATACTGAGGAATGTTGCAATTGACTTTCTTAGCATTTTTTTGTTCCTACTAAGAATGTAAATGGCTTTTTTTTATTTTGCTTTGTGTTCATAAACGTTTAAAACAACTTGAGTTTAAGTAAACGGTGAGGGAATTTATTGGGTGAACTATAACTTTAATGCAATGAAATGATTTGTAAAGTTTGTTTGATTTACTTAAAAAAAAAACTTAAAAATTTAAGCCAGCAACTAGCGGTTAGGAAAATTGTTATTATAACATAAAAAATATAAAAATAATTTAAATGATATGCATTCAAAACTCAACCCTAAAGATTTATGCAAATGTAAGTCAGAATATGACTCCGAATTCACAAGGAATTGATCACAAAACACAAAGCACACACAAACCGAGCAAACAAAGCCCCCGGGTCACACGCAAAACAAGGAGAAAAGGGTTACGCAGGTTAATGAATATTCAGCATGCTGTCAGGCGCTTCACATGCAGTAGCGAAAAACTTACCACTCGCGATATATCCCTCTGTCAGGGGAGAGGAAAAGAGGAGAAAAGGGAACAAAACATACAGTGTTGGGTTAAACCACCTCTATCTTTTAAAGCGCTTATCACATACATAATGGCCTTGTTTCAAACAGTCAAAAGTCATATCTTGCCTTTATGCTGCAATCAACATGAATGCAGCGGGCAAAAGGGCAAGACGACAACACAAAACTAAAACTACTTGTGCACTTGATTAATAAGCTGCCCGTTGGCATGGCAACCCGTGCCATGGGTGACCCGCTTCAGGAGAGAAGTAAGCCTTTGCAGGGCCTCCTTTAAGATCTCCCACTGAGAGCCAAAATGAAACGTCAGTCAGAGTCTAGTGCGCTCAAGTGTGGAAGTTCAAAAGTAATAAAAGAAACCAGACGTTATTCTTAAGGAGCTTTTTGGAGAGGATTTATATCTCTTTTTATGGCTAGCTTCATTAAAGTAACATCCTGCCAGAGAGTCGACATGCTAGCGATTTCTTGACTGGATTCAGAGTTATTTGGGATAAAGCTAAGCTGTAGATTTGCCAAACTGCACACTCATTTTGCAAATGCCTCAATACTTGGGACAAACAACTCCACGTTGCCAGTTTCATTTTTTGCAGTACGAGAGAGAGAGAGAGAGAGAGACATTTCTGGGACTTAATCTGATGGATATTTCCTTGTATTCTCTGTTTGATCTGGTAAAAGGCTATAGCAAATACCAAGAATAAACTAAACTCTTTATTAACGGGAAGTGGTCGAGCTTAAAAAAACGTAGATGGCAGTGCAAATGTTTACAATTAGAAGCTAGTCAAGGAAAGCGGCTGCCACAGCCAAACTGTTCAAATAAAGCATTAGAGCTAGAGGAACAGGCCGGAAGCAACCACTGAAGTACAGTGAAACCAACAAAGTGGCGAAACTAGGTGAGGCACATTCCTCTCTCGCTATCAATTGCTAAACCTCAATAACAAAGATCTAAAAACTAAGGGTCAACAAGATTTTTCTGTTATGCAAATAGAGCACCATTCAAAAGCTTGTGGTCAGTAGGGCTTATCAATGTTTAGACCATTCATTTTTTTTACCATAATTCTGTGATTTAAAGTAACTGTTTTCTAGTATAATACATTTTAATATGTAATTTATTCCTGTGATGACAAAGCTGGACAAAGACTCCAGTCTCCTGTATAATATGATCATTCAGAAATAATACACTAATTTGGTCCATTTTCATAAGACTGATATGAGGCGTTTAATGTTCATCATCATCTTGAATCCTCTGAACTTTTTTTTTCTTTTTATGTTTTAACAAGAAAACATATGTATATTGATATGTTTTTATGTATGAATTACATCACTGTAGGACTTTCCAGTTTGTGTCCATCATGATTTGTCTATTCAAACGTTCTGTCATTCTTTCCTTCTATCCATTTTTCATACATATATTGTTCCACTTATTCCTCCGTTTTGTTTTTCTTATCATTTGTCTATTATTCTTTCATCGTTTGTTTGTTCCATCTGTCTGTCTGTCTGTCTATCAGTATTATTGTTTGCATATGTATATTATAAGTGATGGATGTTATCATGTTCCAGGGTATTTGAAATTAAAAGCAAGTGTGTATATTTACAATGGTTTTTTAAATGTATGCAAATTTATGTTGTATTTAATATACGTCATAATTCTACTAGATTACGAATTTGTGTATTACTGTTCCTAGCCAATAGATTGTGTCCATGTATGCATCAAGACGCAAGAGTATTTATTTACTCTCTCAGTCTGTTATTTTTTGGGGCTGGTACGATTGCCGGTTTATAACCTACCAACCATTTAATTGAACAATAAAGAACGTTGGAGTGTTGATAGACTAGTGTAGCGTTAGTATTCAGGCTGCCTAGTTAGTGGTTGAATAGTGTGTGTGTGTGTGTCTGTGTATGCAACAAAGGTTCATAAGAGGCGCGAGTTGTATCCATCACGCTTGCCCTGAAAACCTTCCAGTGGGGATTTTATTAAGGTACAGCAGGTAACCTAATTAAAACTGGACAATCATCTTTGCGTCAAATTACAAAAAAAATTAATGACCGCATTTGCTAGGTGTTTCTGATGTAGCGTCTTCCGATAGGATAGTAAATTTGACGTTTTTGTCCTTTTTTTAAGTTCTTGATAACACCATTGTGGAGTTTTTCTTTTATTATTTCAGCAAATAGGATTGTAAAAAAAATATTAGTTGTACTTTCCCATTCACTTCGCTCAAAGTTCACCCAACTATGATGACTTCCGTTACTGAGAAACCCGTAAAGGTAAAAAGGGTTCATTCATTAATTATTAGCAATAATATATAGCTCAATAAACTCCTTATTTGCAGAAATAGCAAAAAAATGTCAGCAGATTCTGTCTGGCCCTAGTAATAAGCTACTAGTTTAATAGTGAGAATTGGCACTTAAATTAAAGTGTTACCCAAATTTATATCAGTGTTAGAAACAGTTGCACTGCTTATAAGAAAACCATTTATATCAAATGTTTATTAATATAAAATTTAGTTGTAATTGATTTGAATGCCTCCTTGTGTAACACTATACTGACTCTAAACCTTTGAATAAAAGTGTACTTGCATATAAACTATTTAGCTTCTTTGAATATAAAACCATAAGACATGAAGGGCAAAAATGCTTCCCATTTCAGAATTCCACAGATGCCTTTAGTCATCCTGTCCAATCATATGAGTCCATTTAATGTAGAGGTGAATAAAAAAGGACTGGTTCCTCGAGATATTAAGACGATGAGGCATTTCTCAATGATGACATGAGTGAGCCAGCACACCCTGTGGTATTGTCTCTGTTGATGATGCATTACGATACAATTCTATCTACATCACTTGACAAGACAATCCTATATAGCATTAAACCTGACTTATCATGTGTAATGTTACAATTAGTGTTCTGCACAACTTCTTTTCAAAGAGTTAAAAGTAGTTAACAACTACCATGGCTGTCATTAACATGCTCAAACAGATCTGTACATGCGTTGGTAGTGGTATCCACACCATGCAATCAAATTACCATTTTTTAAAAACAGTGGCTGTCTTGATGATTACCTGAGCTTCTCTAGACACTCCAACACATGTTTCTGAATGTTCTCATCCTTTTCATAGGTCTCCAGTAAAGAGATGGCGTCGTCGTGATTTTGGCAGTAGATCTTGTACACATCCTCCAACTGATCTTTGTAGCTTAGGAACACTTGACCTGGATGAAATAATTATTATGGTAAAATATCAATATGGAAACCGAACTCAAACTATAATGTGAGTTCAGTGATGTTTTTGCTCTAACCTATAGAGTCAGTGTCCTGGAGGGTCTTGTTGAGCCTACGGGAAAGGTCAATAACAGAGCTGATGTTTCCAAAAAGGCCATCAAAGTCAATACCCTGGACCTACAAGACAAGTGGACATTTAAAATAAAGATCTGAATGGCTCATAGTATGTAAATGTGAGTATTAGCTGGGATTTACAGACCTGTTTCTTCTGCAGAGGCTGAATGATCTCCTTCACACACATCTGAAGGTCTTTGATGTAGTCATGTTCAGTTTGCAGAAGCTCCTCGATGACCTTCGTCCTTTTCTCCAGCATCCTTAGTTCGGGGTCTTCAGAGTTGGCCGCCGACGCTGGTGATGATTCTAGAGATTTCGGCTGAGAGGCAAGAAGAGTCATCTCTGTTGACAGATAGAGAAAGAGAGAACGCCTTTGTCAAACTCAAGTAACTACCGTATTTGTCATTAACTTTCTGGTCAGCGATTATTATATTTTTCTGTATATACTATATATATTAGAGAATTGTTTTTATAAGAAACAGGAAGAAGTGATTGAAGTAGAATATATAAGGCAACAACAACAAAGATATACTGCGGTAAACTGATTGCGCAAACCAGATTCAAAAGTTGAACTAAAATTATTTTTAAAAATATGACAGTTTTAAAAATGTGTGGTCAAAACTTTAGGACAAACTTTTTTCCCTCTGCGGTTTTTATTCATTTCTTTGGATCTATGAACCGGAATAACTGTTGGCTTATTAAGGATATCTGTTGCAGTGCCTTTTCTTAGATTCTAACAGACATTCTTCAGAAATTCCCAACATGATAGAATGCAAGAAAGCAATAATGAACAATAGATAGATAATATAACAACAGAACGATATGGATGGATGTATGGATGGATAAATGAACAATAGATAAATAGAATGGACAAAGGATATATGGTAAAGAAAGAACGATAAATAGATAGTAAGAACAATAGATAGAGATAGATAAGAATAAAAAAAGATAGATAGAAAGATAGATAGAATAAACGATGATAGTATGAACGATAGTTTGAATGATACATAGAATGATAGCTAGAACAATCATACGGTTGATACATAGAACAATAGTGCGAATTATGTATAGAATGATACATAGAACGATAGTACGAACCATGCATAGATGCATAAACAATTGTATGAATCATAAAATGATATGTAATGATAGTACGAATCATGCATAGATAGTGAGAACGATGGATAGAATGAAAGTACGAATATAGATAGATAGATAGATAGATTGATAGATTGATAGATTGATAGATAGATAGATAGATAGATAGATAGATAGATAGATAGATAGATAGATAGATAGATAGATAGATAGATAGATAGATAGATAGATAGGATAGATAGATAGGATAGATAGATAGGATAGATAGATAGGATAGATAGGATAGATTAGATAGATATGACAAAATGAAGGAATAAATTGAACAATAAATGAATGATAAATAGATGGAATGGCAGAACGATTAGATAGACAAACCATAATTTGACTTTGGTTTCGCCAGTAGTGGATTCACAAAAAGATTTCACACTACTCTGAATGGTTTACACTCATTTATAAAACATGAAGACAGAACACGAGAGAACTGAATGAAGCTGCTAGGATGAATAGGACAGAGAAGGCAGTTTGCCCTGCATGTTGCCACTGGCCGTCCAGAGGATGTCATGGCTTGGAGTGAAGTTTGACTGCTCTTTGATCTCTGTGGTTCGATCTGGCACTAAGATGAGTCCAGGTCAGGAGAGTGTGGGAGGCAGATCTGCTCTCATGCATGGGTGCTTCTTTACAAAGCTGCCTGAAAGCCGGCTTTATGGACGTACAAAGGACTGTCAAAGCACGCAGTGAGACATGGACCCTCTCAGGAGAAAGGGGGAACCATCTGAGCTGGAACCTGGGACTTTGACTGTGACAATTACAACTGAAGGCTTCAACAAGTTGCAAATTAAAGCATTTAGGTATGTATGAGTGATGATACACAGTTAAAGTCACAATTATTAGCCCACCTATGATTTTTTCCCCCAATATTTCCAAAATGATGTTCAACAGAGTAGGGGATATTTCCAATTTTTTTTTCTTCTGGACAAAGTCTTAATCTTTTTTTTTTTTTTTTTTTTTTTGTTTGTTTTTTTGCTAGAATAAAGTTTTTCCTTTTTTAAAAAACATTTTAAGGTCAATATTATTAGCCCGCTTGAGCAGTATTTTTGTTTTGATAGTCTACAGAACAAACCATTATACAATGACTTGCCTAATTACTCTAATTTGCCTTTAAAAGCACTAAACTTGCACTTTAAGCTGAATACTAGCATCTTGAAAAATATCTATTAAAATATTATTTACTGTCATCATGGCAAAAAAGCAAAAAAACAACAACAGTTTTTTAGAAATTGGGGGAGGGGCTAATTTAGGCTAAATAGGCTAATATTCAACTTGGAGGGCTATGACTTCAACTGTACACGCTTGGTGAGTTTCTGTTTAATTTTACGGTCAAAATTAGAATAAAGAGCTTAAGACTTCTTAGCCATCTGATGCATTAAGTTACGCTGACATCACAAAACAATAAATCTTAATGTTGCTGATTGGGTAAAGACTGATAAGAGATTTGAATTCAAATTGCTTGTATCTCTTTTGAACATTTGACCTCTGAAATTTTACAGCACAATAGAAACTGTTCAGAAATGAAGCCTTCAGAGTTTTTCTTCGCACCACTATTCGACTGAGCAGAAGACATAACGTGCATTTTCAATGATTGATTTGAAATATTAAAAACAAAAATGACATACTTAAAACGCAACTAACTTCTAGAATTTCCAACAATACTTGGATATGCAAATTCAGATTTATTGGTTAAGAGGCTATGATGGCATTGATTAGCAACATTTTATAAATAAATAAATAAATAAATAAATAAATAAATAAATAAATAAATAAATAAATAAATAAAGAGACTAAGCAGAGTAAAATTAATGAAAATAAATAAATAAATAAATAAAAAGGGACTAAGCAGAAGGAAAGTTAATGAATGAATGAATTAAATTAAAAAGTAAAAAATAATAACAGATTTAATAAAAAAGTAAAATTGTAAAAATGTTATATTGTCCAGGACACAGCTTAACATGTTTAAACCTCAAATATGCACCATTCTCATTTTCCACAACACCTTAGCAGACCCAAATAAACAACAGATGAGCTCAAATAAAGCTAAGCTACCCTTTAATTTACAGTTATTTTCCATTTCTCTACAAAGCCCATTGACAGCATGAGGCAAAGTGTGAGGCCTATGCTAATAATAAATGGAAAAGGTCTTTACAGTATCGTTCATCCATGAACTAATCGTTCTACTTCACATACATACACACTTATTACCACTACAATGCAACCTGTTCTGACCCACATCTAGTTAACAGGCTTACAGTGTTCATTGTTCTGAACAAAATAATCTTCAAAGAGCAAATTCTCACAATAGCCTCTGAGTTTCGGCTTATGCATGATGATTATTTATGTGTGCTCAGACAGTCTAAAATGAACATTTGGATCAAAGACTTAATCAAACATGAACGCAGTGACTGTTAACTAATAATATTGGTGATTTATGATGGTTATAACTTCATAAAAGAAAAACTAGGACATGTAGTTTTGAAAAATATTTTACAGTACCAAAAACGCTACAGTAAGTTCAGCACATATCCATCTCATAGATTTATGTGTGTGTGTGTCATAGTCTGGTGAATGGCAGAAAGGGTAATCTCGACCAAGCACACACTCATACACAATGGTTCTCTATTTGTCTCTGTGGATGTAATTGATTGTGACATTATGTTTGGTCTGCTTTCAGGGTCGTGCTCTAGCTCCAGTGTTGCTCCATGTGTTGCTCAGATAGTTCCCACAAAAGGAGACCACAGGATGGCCAAAAGGGGAGGTTTGTTGAAAACACTAAATTCAAAAAAATACTCAACTCTCTATGCAAATTTCTTTTAAGAAAATGCTCAAAAATTTATATTTTCATAACTTCTGCAGGTTTCATTAAGGTATTGTTAAGACATTTTTAATACCCATTAAAAAAAATTTAGGGAATAAACTGAAGGGAACCCAATGGGTCTATTCTGTCTAAAATTTACAGTACACAATAAGTTGTATAAGAAACACCCTTCGTGACATTTTAGGGTTTAGGGTTTGAATATTCATTTTCCAAAAAAACTGAATATGGAAACAAAATTCATTGCAAAAAAAATTTAATAAAATAAAATAAAACAAAACAAACTTAAAATAAAGTAAATAAAAATAAATAATAATCACATCTCTGTATTTTTGGGCTAAATTGTGATACAGTATATACAGTACATCTTGGTATTTTCTATTTTACTAAAAAAAAATTACTATATTTGTTTTACATTTTTACATCCTTTTAGTGTCGTCCAATGAAAGTTGATGAAGTTTATTTCTAAGGGTTTAAAACAAATATAGTGAAAGTCACAATGGCTATACATTATATACAAAAAATGTTAAATCACTTGATATTAATAATCTAAAAAAAATAAAACTGTTTTGATTCCCCACTACGACAGCAACTTTATAGTTACATGTTAATAATAAAGCTAAATTGTCCATTGTGTATGTGTGTGAATGTGTGTGTGTTTCCCAGTGATGGGTTACAGCTGGAGGGGCATCCGATGCGTAAAACATGTGCTGGATAAGTTGGCGGTTCATTCCGCTGTGGCGACATCAGATTAATCAAGGGACTACGTTGAAAATAAAATAAATGAATGAATTAATGTTAGTTATAAAGTTTAATCAAGTTTTTGAAGGTTTTATGGCATTATCATGACTTTCTTATATGTACAGATGGCAAATATACCTGGGAAATTTAAGTTATGCACCACATCTCCATCATATTAAAACAATGCAAAAGCCTTTCAGAGCATCTGACGCTTTAAACAATACTTCCTAACTATAATATGATTTATTTTAAAGCCCTTAACATAAAACTTGACTAATGTTTAGGACAGATTGGCTTATGCACTCTCACTACAATTGTTACTCTTTGTCTTTCACTATTTTCAGATAGTTTGATTGAGATTGTATCGAACTACTGCTTTTTAATATACAGTAAACAGTATTGCCTCGTACAATGTAATAAAAAAAAAATGAGAGTAGTACAGTTACTAAGATACAGTAACTTGATTAAACTTCAAAACAAAGTGCTTTTTAATAGACAATGATGTAGAAGGGAGTTTACCATCTTAGCAGTTCACAGCCTTTCGCCATATTATTGTGTATTAATTCAAAACAAGCTGTTTTGGAAGCCTAATTTCCACAAAAAGTTTCTGAACTAACAAACTTTGAGTTCTGAAATG